CCTGGAAAGTTCTTGGATGCTCTACTCTGATTGGGGCTTACAATATGTAAGTAAATCATAACAAAATGATGCAATACACTCTAGAAAATTCTTACATAGTTAATACGTTAATATATACAAGAAAATCTCCAAAAACTTGCCAACATAATTGCTGCTTGGAATAGAAAATAATCAGAACTCCTAGTTCACAACAATTATAATTCAGAACTAAATTATGCCTCGGCATAACACTACCCCCTCCCTAATCATTGTGTTGTCCCGACACAACTATTCACTATATATTTAATAATCCTGAAACTTGGTAGGTCTCTTCCTCTTCCGCTGCTGCTGCCATCGTACTGTGATGTCTTCAGAGTTCTCCCTTGGTGCAGCAACCTCTCCTGTCACATCCAATTCCGCTAAGAGGGAACAGTGCTGCTCTTCCTGGTTCATGGTCGGGTTCCCTGGACTGGCATGGCCCTGACTTCTTCCAGGATCTCCAGTCTGGTCCTCGTCGGTGGTAGGTGACTGCTCCTCAGAGCAGGTGTACTGCCCTGGCCCATGATACTACCACAGGCGATTGACGTGAACTACCTTTGGCTGAGCCTTCCTTCTTCCCTTGATCCAGCAGGTCACATCTGAAAGTCATTCCACTACAGTGTATGGTCCATCCCATGGATGCTGCATCTTCGGTGACTGACCCTTCTACCACAGAGGGTTATAAAGCCAGACCTTATCACCATCCTTGTAACAGACCTGGCTTGCTTTAATATCATGGTAAAGCTTCATCACTCCACCCGAGAATTCCAGAGCTCCTCGGACTTGATGGTGGACTTCCGTCAACCTTTCTTGGAGGCTTTTGGCGTAACTGGTGGTTTCTTCATCAGGTGGTCTTCCTGTCAGCAGGTCTACTGGCAGCCACAGTTCGTGATGCAGCATCAATTTTGCCGGTGTGTATCCAGTTGACTCGTGGACAGCTGATCGACATGCCATCAGCAGAGCAGACAGCTTCTTGTCCCATTCTGTCTGCCCCTCAACACAATAATTGTCCAATTCTTGTCCCAAGGTCCAATTAAAATTTCCCACCAGTCCCTCTGACTGTGGCCGAAGTTGAGTGGTCCTAGTCTTCCTTGTGCCCAATAGTTTACAGCACTTACTGAACATAGCTGATTAAAAGATTCTACCCTGGTCCGAGTGCAACTGGTGGAGCACACCAAACCGGCAGAAGAACTGGTCAACCAGCACCCTGCCAAGAGTCGTGGCTTCCTGATTTGGGATGGCATATGTTTCTGGCCATATAGTGAAATAATCCATGGCCACACAAATGTTCCTATTTCCATCTGCAATGAGGGGCAGAGGTTCTGCAATATCCACTGTGACCCTCTCCATTGATGCAACTGCATGGTACAGCTGCAGTGGAGCACGCCTTTGTAGCTTTGGTCCCCTCTTGGCGCAGCAGACATCGCATGAACGGCACCATTCTTCCATGCTTACCCATTCCAACCCAGTATAACCTTTGCCACACGCAACTCAGGGTCTTTTTTACTCCAAGATGTCCATTGGCTGGATTGTTGTGCATCTCCCTCGAGATCTCTGACCTCATCTTCCGGGGAAGTACTGTCTGCCAGTACCTGTTGAGGCCATCTGTAGTCCGTCCACTGGCGCTGCAGCAGACCATTCTTCAGCCGAAGAGCATCCCACTGTGCCCAGTGGTATTTAGTCGTAGGACTTGCTCCAGAGATCGTCTCCCTTGCTGGCCGCACTGAGCTCTGGCTCATCCACTCGAACAAAAGTCACAGGTCTTAGTCTTCCAGCTGCAACATCTCAAGGCCTTATCTAGCAATGGCTGGATCTTCCTTCACTGTAGTGTGACTACACTTCTTGGGAAGTGTCTCACACCGGCAACATTGCTGACAATCAGGCTCCACCACTCCTAGACTGGTATGCATGGCACCGTTCACCTTGCACGGCAACAGCACCTCTGATCTTGGGGGAATAACTAATGTCTGCCTAGCTATAACCTTAGCACTTGCATGCTTCACAGTCTTCAGCGGTACCTACATTCTTTTAATTTTCAACTGCATCGAGCCAAGATCCAGTTGACACTTGCGAGGTAGGAGGTAGTCCAGGCCCAGGATGCAAGGATGTGCTATATTCACTACATTAACCTTGATGCTGATATCCACTGGTCTTTTTAGTACTGTGCATTGTCCAGTTATCCCGCACAGCTGCTGCGACGTCTAAGGCCGTGGCCGCACTGAGAGCAGGCGGGTGCGGAAGACTTTGCAGCATTGTAACCCATAGACGTGGCCTCACTGGCAGTGGGAGCAAGCTGGCAACAACACGTGCCCGCTCCTGCCCGCTCTCAGTGCGGCCGCAGCCTAAGGTAGTTTGTCGGTGACTAATCAAGTCCAGCCTCACAAAAGTCTGCTCCGAGGCTGTGTCAATCACCAATGGACACCTTATGTCATCGATCTCACCGTCAATCTGGATACTGCTTACAAAGTTACAGTGGCTCGGTTCTATTTTGTCAATAGTGGGGCTCTGGTGAGACAGGCTGGCTGTTGACTCAGTCCCAGTCATCTCTAGTTTCCCCATCTTAGTGAGCTACTCTTTCTCTCTTGAAATTCTGTGGGCAATTAGTCTTGAAGTATCCATCTTCTCCACACGTCCAACATCTTCTGTGTACTGTATTGCCCTTCTCTCGCTCTCGTTTCCGCTTGCAACAGTTGTCCTGTTTGTGCCCAATCTTCTCACTGTTCCTGCAGCAGTTGTTTCTGTTCTTATGGTTGAATTTGCAGTAGTTGTTCAAGCATTGTGGAATTGTTGTTTATGTTCTTCTCATTGTGCGTGTAAGAATTGCATCAGATCATCTATGGAAATCAACCCTTGCCTGTCTTGACTTTTGGTCTGGACACCTTCACCATACATCTTGACTATAGTGCATTTTTTCTCAGCTGAGAAAAAATGCACTATAATATCTCACTGCTAGGCTATCCCACTCCTGACAATAGTGTTACACACTCCTTTCGCCGCTTACCCAGCTTCCAGTACCGGTTACCATCGGCCAGGTCATAAATACAGAAGCAATAGAAATATTACATGTGTCGTCAAATTACCACTGGTTGTCCTGCCAGTCTCCGGTAATTTCCCGACGATCGGTATCAGTGCAAAGACAAACAATAGGCATAAAGCCGTGTGGCATAAAACCATGTTGGCAATGCTTTACAAGGCTGTTTCATAGTAGATGTTCTGTCGCAGCATCTCTGATAATACTCTCAAGTACTTTACATATTATGCTGGTCAGGCTCACCGGTCTATAGTTGTCGTGGAGTGACGATCACCCTTCTTGAAGATAGGACTCACATAAGCCATTTTCTAATCACTGGGGACCTTTTGTTTATCCAGGCATTTACAAAACAGGATCTTCAGGGACTCTGCAAGCTCGTTGCACAACTCTCTTAGCACTCTGGGATGCACCATGTCAGGGCTGGGACTCTTATGGACATTTAGCTTTGACAGTTTATTTCTAATACCCTCTTCTGTGGACACAATGTGGGTCAGTGCTGTGTCGAACCGTCTGTCCTCAAACGCAGGAAAGTTAATCGCATCCTCTCTTGTGAACACCGAGGAAAAGAAGCTGTTCAATGCCTCAGCTTTATCCTGGTCAGAATCTGCGTAGCTACCATCTTCAAGCCTCAGGTCTGATACTCCTACTCGCATTTTTAATTTTGACTTTGCATAGCGGTAAAACGCCTTTGGGTTTGACTTAACCTCGCTTGCATCCAGCATCTGGAACTCCTTTTCAGCCCTTCTACACTCTACCTTTGCTTGGTTTATGGCTCTTGCATACATCCTCCTGTCTTGCTCATCGTTTGACCCAACCCACATTTTGAATTTCTGGATTTTCTTCTTAACTTTGTCGACCGCCACATGGTTCACTTGTAGGGATCCCCTTGTATTCCTAGAGGCACTGGGTTTGGTGTTGCTTTTTTATTTAACATCAGTGGTTAGCTACTTCTATTGTTCCATTTATTAACATTAAATAACATTACTTAAAACACATAATGCATATTAATTTTTTTACATTAATTTTACTAAAGCTACAACCAGGGTCTTATTTTCTTCAGTTTCTTAAGTAGAACCATCATCCCTGGTGTAAGCACTAACAAAAACAATGGCATTCCATCTCCTCTCCTGTGACCATGTTATTATTGATTTATACTGTACTGTATTATATAAGGTGCATTCATAAATATTATTTAAAGAATATAGGTTGCATTTTTCATTAATTTTATTGTTTTGGGGGAAAAGAGGGTAAAAAGTCACACAAAAGATATGAAAAGGTCAGACATTGGAACGCATCTCATTATTATTGCTTTATTTTAATGGTAATTAATGATTCACGATGCAATGATTCACCTTACACTGCAATATTGGGGGACACATTACCATTGTTAGTCGAGGCTTTACTGTACAGTATTTATATCCAAAATGAGTAGGCAGTAATAATGAATAGTAATATCTCCATTAGCCGGAATCCCTTAAACTCGGAAGCCTCGGAATTGAAATTTTCTCGTAAAATCATTCCCAAAGCCGGAATTTTCCGGAAAAATACGGCTTTGGGAAAAAATTTCCGTGGGGTACATTTTCGGAAAAAAACTCAATACCCGGAAAATTTCGGGGATGGGGGAGTTTTTTCTGGGTTTGAGAGATGAAAATCAGGCACATTTTCTGGAAATTCCGAGAAAATTTTTCCGGTACTCGGAAAAACCGGAGCTGGGGGATATTCTTCCAGGTTTGAGAACTTCCGAGAACATTTTTCCATTACCCAGAAATCTCTCATTCCCGGAAGTGCTCTGCACTCATCGTTCTAGCTAACGGAGATATTACTGTATCCATACTTGCTAATGATAACTAAAAACTGAAGATGGAATGCAGAGCTGAGGAGATGTGTGATAACTTAAATTTACTGCTTTATGTACTGACTAAGAAGTGGTTTTAATCAAAACGACCTTCAGCAGGTATGCTGTGGGGTGTGCTGTGGGCATTTCGCCCTGTGTTGTGGATGGTGCGGTGGATGTGGGATGAGTGGGTGAGTACTATCTTCACCCTTGTGGTGGGCTGGCGCAGGAAGAGCCTCCTCCCTCCTGTGTTCAACCCAATACTTCTCCTCTCTGCTTCTGAACTCGCTGACAACATCCGAGAAAGAAAGGTATTTTCTCCCTCGACACCATCACATAAGAAGTTAATGACACTTATGGGAACTTTTGTTATCAGTATTTAAAAACTTGTACACTCTCAAAAAGTTGATTTTCAACAGGAAATTGAATGACACAATAATTTACAGATAATCAAATCTAAATTTGAAAACACAGAATAAACAACATTGCTATGATAAATAATGCTGAAGGCTGTACAGACTGCAATATACTGATTATAATTTGGAACAATTGCAGACTACTTCGTAAATGAAGTCTACTTAAACTTTATACTTTTGCTGATAGAAAAAATTTTGCTATGAACCTTACATTGCTAACAAATGTTGCATTACTTTAATAAAAAAAAGTAAACATAATATACCTGTATATTGGGTACCCTTATTGAAGCCAGTTGACGTACAGCTACAATTTTACTTTCAATACGTACAAACGAAATCAAGAAATTTAATGATTGCATCAAATATTTTTCATGGAAATACCAAGCCAAGAAAGACATTAATTTTTCATGTACAGATGGAAGATAACAAACAAAAGAACAAGACCACACAGAGATCATAAAGGAGGACATGTGCCCCCCCGGCTATGCCAGTGACCAAATATTTGAGCTTTCACTATGTAAACTTGAGAAAAAGAGAAGGGGTCAAGAGTAGAGAGAGAAAAGGAACCTTAACTTGTTAGTATGGTGATTAATCCAACAACCAATTCAGGCTTTTTTTTGGGGGGGGCTTCTCATCTAGGCTGAAACCCAGTTGTAGCAAAACTACAAATCTTTGCCATTAATTTCCATTTTTAAATTGCTGTACCATGCATAACTATTAAATTATTTGAAAACTCTTTAAATAATACTTGTACACCTTAGACCAGACTTATGCAGTACTGTACTGTATTGTATTTCATGTTCTGTGCACCCTATACCATTGTCCACTATACAGTTACTTCAAGAGGGCAGAGGTAGCTCTAAGATGAATTATGAAATAAAATGGAATCCATAAGGAACTAAGCAAACTTTGTTATCTTAACATTTTTTTATGTAATTATGGTTACATAATTTAAAAAAAAAATATATTGTTACAAATTAATATGCAGCCTTAAAATTTGCATAGACTTTTAAGCAGGCTTATTCTTTAGTTATACCTGTATTTATACATTTTTATTATTCTTTTTCATGCACATTTCCACATTTGTTCTTCTTTTTATCCTCACTATTGTAATCTTCATATTTTCTCTTCTTAATGATAGTATTATTCATTAGAATTTTTCAGAGCACAGATGAAATATCTTTTATACTGAAACTGAAAACTCCATAAACATCTTGAGGAAGATCACCGAAGTGTCTGGCACTAAAGGTCATATAGCACCTTGCAGAAGCATTGTCAATTAATATGAAATACTGTATGACTATTATACAGACTGTGAACATCCTGATAGAAAACATTTATTTATTGCTTGTGTCAAACTACATTTTTTTTAATACAGAAAAGGACTGGGTAATATGCAAACACTCAAATTTCTGTGGCACCCCAAGATCCTGTTTATGAATCATTGCCAAGAAAATCTCTCCATTCTGATCATGGGAACAAATTTTCCAGGAGTTCTGAGATTGTATTATGCTCCATTACGTCCCCACATGCCAGGCGCGTTGATGTTAACCCTTAGGCCCTGGGTGACATTCCAGAACATCCGACTAGCGGGTCCCGGGTGACTAAGAGGTAGCAGTGAAGAACACACGCTGTGGTGGCAGGACACAGACTGAGTGGATGTAAACAAACCCCACATCCCAAGTGGTGTATTTGGCACAAAATTCAATGGAATCACGCTTGATTTCGTGAACTACCGGGTAGTTCGATAAATCGAGCAAAAATAATATAAATTTGATTTAGCGGAAATTTTGATATAACGGAAGAGGGTGGTTCGAATTAGTTCGTTAAAACGAGAAAATACTGTATGGCTACAATAACACTAGACATTATTTTGTTTATTTACAATATATTGTATATGTGTAGTAGTGTTTGCACAAATACAGCCCTGTGTCTGTGCGAGATGCGTAGTTCAGACTCTGAGAATTTTCACCAGTAACCAGAAAAATTCTGGGGATGAGAAAATTCGCCTCCATATCATGAAAACTCTCAGTCCGAGAACCACTCTGCACCAATTATTCTGGCTAATGGGGAGATTACTAATGGTATCACACAAGCATATATAGAAATTTTTTTCCTACTTTTTCATTTTTTTTCATTGAAATGGTGCAAGTAGAACTGATGTGAATAGGCAACTTTCTGTATTCTTTTATCATCACTCATGAAATTTGTTCAATATTAAGGGTAGAGTACAAGGTAACACATCAAGTGATTATTATTAAAAAAAATGAATGGTGACATCTGAGTCTGAATCCTAATTGACATTAATAATTTCAGTAGCAATTGATGTTTTTCATTGTTTGTGGTTGTCAGTCAACCTTCCAAATATAAATGCCACCTGTACTGTATAAGGTAAAGCTTTAACTGTGTCAAGTTATGAATAGGATGAAATACTGTACTGTATAGTAGTACAGTACAGAAGTAATTAATGATACACTTAATTGTGAGCAGGTGAGCAGTGTTGAGGTGGTGCGGTCATATGTTACCAGAATCAGCAATGTTAACCCCATTTTGAATGCTGTAGCCCAAGAGAACTTTCAGGCTGCCCTGTTGGAGGCAAGGATGGTGGACAAAAAGCTTGACCAGGTACTTATAACAGTGATACTGTACCACTGTTTCAACAAAGGTAATATTTACTTTTCTTACACACAAACTATCTAATTTTTACTAATAATTTATCGAAGACAACTTCTTTCTTATGCAGTTTAAAAACATCAAGAACAGTGTAAGGGCGCTAATTTTTGTTATACATCCCAGTGATGTAACATCATTTGTAAGGGGGAGAACAGTTTTGTTGTTTACTAATTATTTTATTTCCACCTTACCTTATCATTATTTCTGACTTGTTTATTTATATTTTGTTATATAGGTTAATATGGGAAAACCACATCATTGTGCATTATTACACTTTCAATTTGAATATAACACCAACAATAAACCCGCTCAATTAATGTGGTAGCAGGCGTGAGGGCTTTGAGGGGTTAGAGCATGTGAGTTATAACTTGTATTTTAAGGGATGGCAATTATGAGAAGCTATGAAGGGTGATACACATATTATACTTAGTTATTATTTATTAAAGCAAATTTTAATTTGTTGACAACTTGAACCATAAATCACATATTAGGTTTAATCAATAATGTACAGGTACTTGGAAAACTTTACTTTAACACTTAGACAAAAAATATAAGGACCAATGGGTCTTACTACCTGGTTAGAAAAATAAATAGTTTAATTAATAATTACAACATTCACTAAGAACATACCAATTCAAGGGTAATATTCTATCACAGTGACACCAGAATGGTGGTCACTCCAAGCACCTTCCAATAGCATACACAGTGGTTTTTAATTATAGCACCATTAAGCATCTTGGCTATGAATCACATTAATAACTTATTAGTATACTTAGAGAAATACTCCACATCATAAATCAGCTGTGAGTATAGCTGATTCACGTAACACCCATAACAACCACTTATCCTCTCTGTCGTACTTTGTACAGTTTCAATACTAGACCTGGGACAGTTTTACTCCTGATAACCCATCCATAATGACACATACAAGAGGAGTTAACACTTACAGGTTGGCTGGTACCAACACACAGCTGTAGAACACATCCAGGGCTCAACACCCGAGATAACACTCTCCTGGTTGTTCCCGACCTTCACTACAACTCTAGTTGGTTATTTGACATTATGTCTTTTTATGGCTACCTCTGTGGCAGCTCCAAATCTCAAATTCTACACACCATACCTGCCAGGCACGAGAGCAATGTTCAGAAAGATAAACAAACTTTCGTTGGTCGTTTAGTACCCAACAATTGACCGTATGAATGTTTATACTGTACATATGATACAATTCTTAACTAACTTATTAGAGTTACTTGTTCAATCAAATAATGCACAAAATAAACTTATTCAACATAATACGAAGGACTACAGTACTAGGATCACTAGTTAACATACCTGCCAAGCACAATAACACTTCCTTCGCTGCCTGCTCTGGCACTCATAAATGAACATAGCAAACTAGGAATTACGGGTCTATTACTCTGAGTCGTGTGCACTTCATATTAATTGAAGTAACATCTCTAAGAATTGACAAATATTTCATAAGACTAATGGTTATACAGTAATGTAATCAGTGTTTGAGCTTATAATATAATCAATTATATTGGTGACAACTACACGAAATGGCAGTCATGTTTCTTGTCGACTCAGCGGCCGTCTACTCTACAAGGAGGCACTATGGAGCTCGGTTAAATTTCAGGAATTTATTGGCCATTGACAGGTCCTGCTCTTGGGATAAATGAGATTCTTAAATACAAAAATGTCAATCATTTCAATATATTCATCAGATCCGCTGATGTCTTGAGATCAAGGAAATTTAATTTCAGGAGCGAATAGATATCTCATATTCTTACACAGAGCAGAAGAGGAATCTTTCAGCTTTTGCCAGCTCAAAAACTCAGCTTATATTACAGTTTCATTAAAAGTAAATACAGTTGAAGCTTTCAACATACAGTAAATGCTCAATGGATCTTGAATGCTTCAGCTAGCAGTAGGTAGCGTATACAGGCAGTCCCCGAGTTACGACCATCCAACTTACCATCACCTGCACTTATGAACGGGTTCCCAATACATTCACTGCAAAAATTTTAATTAAAATCCCAATTTTTACATTATTTTCATCATTATATATTGTTTAACATTACTTAATATATAGAATTTGTTATTTGTTATACTGTATATGGGTATATTACTGTTGTTTTGTATGGGCTTTAGCCTAACCTAAACTATGGGTCCAGGAACATATCCTTGTCATAAGTTGGGGACGGCCTCGTCAGCCTGTATATATATCTTACAGTTACACACATGAGTTCAATCACAATTTCCAATTTGCAAACATTAACATGGAATTTCTTGTGAGGGAGAATGGGATGTAGACACAAGAGAATCCATACACTCGGTGGGTAACTCAAGAAACAAATCATAGCTACATGTTTTATGGGCTATTTAGCTTAATATGAATCATATGGCATAAATTAAATAACATGTACCATTGTGATCAGTACAACATGAATTGCAATTTTTATGTTTTTATATTTGCTCTATTTTTTCCTGTGAATAATATATTGTATGTCCATTCACCAAATCACAAATACCCCTATCAGTGGTTTAGGTGTAAAAGAACGTTTAAGTATTCCGTCAACAAGGTTTACGCCATAAACTGCATTGTATTTGGATACCAGTAGATACAAATGCACAATACAGTATTTATGGTTTTGTAATGGTATTCTTTTGTAGGGGCCTTATAAGAGGTTAGCTATACACAAAATATTTTAGCATTGTATTATCTTTTGTTCATAGTTCTGACATTTAGATGTAGTTCTTGAAGTTCTTGGAATATTTAAAACATATGGAAACTAATATTTATGATATTAAACATCACAAGTTGTTTTTATAAAATTATTCCATTAAACATATGAGCAGAAGCATCTATCTCCTCTACCAAAGAATTGTCAATTCTCATGCATTCAGATTAAGACAAAGGAAACTTCAGTGTAATAATGATACAGAAGATGAATTTCCATGATAACAAATAATTACAGTACAGTGCTTACATACATTATATTTTTGCTGCCAACTTGATCACATAGAAATTATTATTCTTTAATTACCTGTACTGTGCTGCAATGTACTGAATACAGTACTGTATCTATTCTCCATTTCCTCAGGGGCTGAGTGATGGGAGCCTAACGAAAGATTGGCTGAAGAAAAACCAGCCATTTCTAGGGGTACCTTTCACCGTCAAGGAGACAATTGCTGTGGCTGGTAAGGTATTTTGTTATATTGTATTCATGGTGGCTCTAGAAGCCCAGTCCATATGAGTATCAGGATTCTGAAAATCATTCTGCGACTTATACATTAAAGATGTAAGGTTAAAATCTGTAATGGTTAGTTGACTATTGAGCCCATATACTGAGAGTTAGCCCTGTCATGCTGCCAGGAACAGGTAAAGCCTTTTAACCTTAGTCTACCACAGTAGGATTTTATGGTTACTTACAAAATTTATGTTTGTCACGTTGTATGATAATTTTTATTGTCCTTATAATAATGTAAGATATTGTATAATATTACAATGGATAAGAGTATTTTGGCTATTATGTACTCTCTGAGTTGGTGAGGAAGTGATGGTCATCTCCAGCCATAATTGCTATTTTTTAGCCTGTCCCACAGTCCTATGACAATCTTGCCACCAAACTTACTTTGATCCCCAGAACTCTCCATTACCCGGATTTTTTTTTATTTTAGCATTTCGAGAAATTACAGGAAAAATCTTTTCACTCCGGGCATTTGAACAAATTTCTTTTCTGAGAGATTGCATCATGTTTCCAATGTGAGGGTGCGTGCTGGTTGTGTGGGTAGGTAGTCTCAGAGTGCTCATGAGCTACGATTGGCCAGTACTGTCATGTGACTACAAGGGATGCCTATAATTATTTGAAATATTTTGCAGCCTATCTCCTTAAACTTTAGCATCATGACACTCTTAGTTCATTGTCTGTTGCCCAGCTTATGAGCTTGTTCACTCGCTCACTGCTGTTTTCGTATTTGATCTTCGTCGTGCAGTACTGTTCATTACTGTACCAATATATAACTAGCCGAGAAAACTGTTAAAGCAGTGTTAATGTGCAAAAAGTGATTACAGTTATGTAAACTGTACTGTACATTCAATAAGTGCTTAAAGTACCATATGTACTGTACAGTACAGTAATGTAAATAGCAGAGTGGACAGTGTAATGCGACGTCTAGCTTTGATTACCCGAGCAGGAAGTGGAGAGGGAGGTCACATTGCGTATAAGGCTGCGCTAGCTTAGGTCCAGATTATAATTATAAACTTTTTGGAATGTTTTCCAATATTAGGAACATTTACCGGAAAGTAAAATGTTAATTTACATATCCAAATTAGGATACTCACTTTATTCTGATGAGGAAGAAGAAGGTCCTGGTTGTGGAGATTAACTAGGTGGGGGAGGGGACCCCAGTACCACCACATGTGAAGCATCTTTCAGAGATAGATGAAGATAGCTGTTTTGAAAGGTTTTTGAAGATTTCCAAAAGCCCACTTCTTTGATCTGATTGAGGCCCATATGCCGCAGAAAGGCCACCGACCCTGCATATTTCCTGGTGTCATGTGCCAAAAATTTCTTGCTAGGGTCTGCTTGACTCACTAACTGAGATATTTATTTTGTCATTTGACTAGGAGACAATTTCTTACCATCCTATGATGAGAATACATAGGGGCCTCAATTAGGGAATCTGGTTAACCATTCTTGAAGATTCTTAACTGGGCCGATATATGAGGAACCCTTGTCTCATACGACCGCTTCAGTCGTACCAAAATTTTGTCAAATTACGTATTTTCGAGTCCCAACGTCAGTGATTGCGCTGTGTACTGACAAAATTTTCGTTTGTAATTCACTTTAAAATGGCTGGCAAGCTTAAAAGTGAGAGTTTTGTGGTGCTGTGAAGAAAAAGAGACACCCATTTTAGATTTTCTATGTATTATTTAAGCATTTTCGACTTACGACCTGGATTTGGGTCCCTAACCCCGTCTTAAGTTGGGAGCAGCTGTACTGTATTGGCGGACTAGCCGATCAGCCCGGAAGGGCGAAAAACAATGTCATTAACTAAGTGACTTGAAAGCAGAGGATATTAGTCACTAAAGATCGACTGTCTTCCTAGATAGAAGACGAGCCGCAGTCGCCATGTTTGACCAGACCGTATAAAAAATTGCTCCAAACACAACATCTGAAAGACATAATCAAATTAACAGTCACTCGATTTCCTCACAGTGTTAAGATGTATAAATACCAAAAATAAAATCCCCGTGGCACTTAATATTTCAGCTATTACAACACAAATTAGCGGAGCCTTCCTTGTGCGCGTTTACAGCTGATTAGCCAGGCAAGAAGATGACGGTAGCAATGCATGTGATGGAGGGTGCGGAAGGGGGTTTTGAGAATTGCAATTAAATGCCTGGTAGCGACCTGTCCTAATATTACGTATTTAAGTAATTATTAGATGTTTTAATTGCCTGTATGTTGGCCTGGCAAGTTAATGCTAGGCATTTACATACCTAGGTATAAAGCTAGACGTTGCACTGTGGATTGAAAAAAAAAAGCATATCACCATTTGGTCTGCCCGGAACTGCTTTGGACCAATTATTCCGGCTAACGGGGAGATTACTTTACGTTTTACAATTGTTTTATGTAATATATTTATTATTACGATTTTAGTTTGACCTTTATGGTACAATTTTCATATCATCATTGTCTTTTACTCTGATTTATTAATAACTGTTAAAAGTGATTCACTGAACTTATATTTGTCTTAATACTGGTTTTAAACAGTAAAATGAGTTATTTGAGTGTTAAAATAGACCAAGAAATATAAAAATTAACCAAGGAAACAAACAAGTGCTCTGTAAGAACCTTATCACTAAAACAATCCCTGAGAGTGTTTACCATTGTCAGAGTGATCTGGCATATTTTAAACTTGTACTTTATTCTCTTTGCCACTTAGACGGTTAGTCACATCTCTGTTACATACTGTTGGCAAGTACTGGCTCTAGAATGTATTTGTACCTGCATCAGTGTTAGTAAATCCTGGTCTTGAATGCACTCACACTCAGTGTTGTCACAATGCCTCTGGCAGATCGTTCCATGAGTTTGCTCTGACAATTTTCTGAACTTGTGGCTTCTTCAACAAGCTTCAGGTATGAACACTAAACTGAAGATAGTACTGCCTTCTTAGATGTTTATAAACTTAAATTAAATCACCCGGTGCTCACCTATAGTATAAGCTAAGGAATTGTAGGCATTCCAATCTCTCTGGAGTAACTTTTGTGACAGGAAAAAATCCAGGGGTATAATGCAGTTTTTTACCCCTGCTTGGGTGTTGAGGGAGTGGTGTAACCTTTGAATAGACTAATGGCAATCTTCCATAGGTGTTGGAGTATCTTTTCCTTTACTCAGATTCGTTGTTATTATAATGTTATTACTGCACTTCAACAACGAAGGTCTTTAAGTGAATAAAATGGTTCGTAATACACTAGTCCTACAACAATAACAAATTACGAGAGCTAGACCTCCCTATTACACTGCCCTGCATAGTTTTTGAGGTTTGTGTATTATTAAGCTTTTCTGGGTGTATTTTGCATGCTGATCTCAAAAATGTTATCCATTTTGCTCAATCAGGTCAGAATTTTGTGCGATAGCATTTTAAGCGGAGATTCAGGTAAAATATTGGCATTTTTCGCTCAAAATGGGGTCCTCATATTCATTCATTAAAAAATCATCCGAGACATTGGCAAGCCTCACAGAAAAGATTTCGGTCAGTTTTAATGCCCTTACGATGCATTTAAATACACCCACGTGCTCGCCGGCCATTTAAATGTCCGCCGTGACGCAAAGGAAAAGAGTATATGTCCCGTGTTTTTTACATATATTTTTTCACAATTAAATTTCTTTTTCATCTGGTGGTACATGGCATGTTTCCTCTGTCTGTGGGATAGTCGAGCAGACAAGCAGCACTACATGCAACGTGACTGGCCTGCAAGAAGTGGACTTACTCCAGGTTCTCACAGTGTTGTTGCCCATGCTCTGGTGAATCCGCAGAACATTCTTCTTCCGCCACTGCACATCAAGCTCGGTCTGTTCAAAAACTTTGTAAAGGCACTGGACAAAAAAAGCCAGGCTTTCAATTTTCTGAAAGAAAAATTTCCAAAAGTCAGTGAGGCAAAGCTGAATGCAGGAATTTTTGATGGCCCTCAGATCAGAGAGCTTTTCAAAGATCCCAAGTTTGATTGCAGCATGGATGTAAATGAGAAGAAAGCCTGGCATGCCTTTAAGTCTATTGTCTCCAATTTTCTTGACAACTACAGAAGTCCAGAGTATGAACGAGTTGTTAAGGACCTACTTCTGAGCTACAAAGTTCTTGGTGCACGCATGTCCATCAAGATGCACTTCCTCAGCTTCCACTTGGACTACTTTCCAGAGAACTGTGGTGATGTGAGTGAGGAACAAGGAGAACGCTTCCATCAAGGAGCGGTACCAGGGTCGCTGGGATATCAACATGCTCGCCGACTTCTGTTGGTGTCTGAAACGGGACGCCCCAGACACTAACCACTAAAGAAATTCTCTGAGACAGCCATTTATGCATGTCTAACTGTAAAGGCATCTATGTAGTTGACATATTTTGGTCCTATGTGTTGTGGTTACATTTCTTATGATATATTTTGCATAAAAATTTGGACATCATATTTAAGAATTTCGATTTTTTCCTAATTCCCATAGCATAAAAATCTGACCTGATTGGGCAAAATGAATGGTATTTTTGGAATCAGCACGTAAAATACATAAAGAATCAGCTAAGAAACCCCGCACCTCATGAATTTTTTTTTTCAAATGCAGCCCAGTGTTATCAGAGTAGAGATAGAAAGATTGTAGTATCCCACTGTCCCTGCAATATAGTTCTGGTGGACATCTTCTAGCTCATTATATTTTGTCAGTTGGGTAATCAAATCTTGAAACAGTAGTCCTGGTAAGCCTGCACCAACCTGCAAAAGGCAGTCAACTTCACCTACAGTGGCCTGGACTAGAAGGTTTCACATCACCCAGTTAGACTGTAGCTTGACTATTTTCCATTTTGTCTTAATGTGTTTGTTGGAGATGAGGTCACCACTCATCCTCAACTTTAGCCACATTGTCACTGATTGGGATAAAAGGATAATGTCTAACACAGCACCCTTTAGAACACGACATCACCAGTGAGTTGACCAATATCTGGCCACCCCTCCACCACCTTCTGTCTTTCAAGAAGGTCACCAGTCATGCCCCCATCCTACCATGGATTCCCAGCTGGCCAATGGCTCATTTAATTATTTAATTTTTAACTAGTTTGAAAGCTTTTGGATAATTCAGGTAAAAAGTGTCACTTTCCATTGCTTCACTCTCCAGGATATCAAGGATTTGTATGTATCTTTCCATTAAACATGTCATGGTCCGCTGAAAAATGGGGGTATGGATCTTGCAGGCCACTCATCGATGACTAATGATTCATAAAATCTGTTGAAAACTTCACAACTTATTGATGTATAATTATATGATATACAGTACAGTAATAAGTTATTGCCCCCATGCAGGGTTGCCACACACTGGTGGGCTGGTGGTACGTGGTGACGTGGTTGCATCTCAAGATGCTGAGGTGGTGAACAAGATGAAGAAAGCAGGTAGATGACAAGTTTTGGGGTTACTGATAGTCTTTTACTTTTCCTAAAGTACATGTGTTGTACTTTAAACAGTAGCTTATTTTGTAATAGTCTTATTGGAAGTCTGCTTTAACATGTAATTCATGCAGTATTAAAGAAATTAGTACTTTATATTAAATAATATTTTACTTGACGATATGGTATAGCCACTTTGCATAAAAACAGTAAACATTGAGAAAAAAATCTTATAATACATTATCATGTATAAAAGTTCTCTCTCTGACTCGTGTATGTGTGCATGTGTTGCTCTTTTTCCATCCAAGTACAGTACAGTACTGTATGCTCTTTTATATAACAGAATGTTTTAAGGATTCATTTGGCACATTATAAGCATCTCATCTTTCTTTCAGGTGCCATCTTGTTGGCAAACACCAACATCTCAGAACTGGGCATGTGGTGGGAAAGTGATAATCGAGTGTATGGTAGGACCAATAATCCATACGACACCAGACGTACTTCAGGAGGTTCATCTGGTGGCGAGGTAATCTCAACAAATATTCTATTATAGTACCCCGGGTTACGAACAAGTTCCATTCCTGAGGACGTTCTTATGTCAAATTTTTATGCAAGTCAGAGCACATGCTATGTGCATACCGTATATAAACTCCATGGTTATGGACGTTCAGGTGACAGGCAAGTCGAAAGGAATGATTGAAACCCGCCTTTTGACGCATTCAATATTTATTGATGTGGTCAAAACAAGTGCGGGTCAATGCAGATCAGTATGGTGTTCCAAAAGACAACAGTACAACTGTGTAAATTGTCTCAGCACAAATTCTTGGACAGGATTATGTGGTGTTTATCAGTGTGAGCAGCGGGCTGCTCCTTACAGCATCACTCGAGAGAGCGATCTCCTCAAGTCCAGGTGGCCACGCCACCATTTTAACCATACATTTAGTGGAATCAGGACCTCTTTTCCCAATACCCCATTGAAATAATAGATTCAGTTAACTAAATTTTCGGTTAACGAACGACTCTGTTACTATTGCTATCACTGTTAGCTAAAGCGGACTCAATTTCTTTGTTGCTCTTCAGCACTCGATATGGACGATGAGGAATGATGAGTTGTGATAAGGGGGCTAAAATTTGAATCACAATACTGTAGGAAATATTCCAACAATTATTCACAATATACACAGGCAATAATAGTCACTCAAGTATACGTAATCCAGGTATGGAGTGTGGTGTTCAGTGGATGGAATATGAGGGGATTTAAATGTCCATGAACAATAGTAACCTTCCTCACTCCAGATCATAGACCAGACTAATTTTTGTCAAACTTCCAGAGACATAGAGGGTGCCAGAGGAACGATACATTTAAAAAAAAAATATCTTCCTCCATATATCAGCTTACTAGCCATTCAGGTGGTTGGTCGATCCAGTGTTATTACAGGAGGAAACTGGGGTCTGGGAAACCTGTGGTGTTTGGTAGGGTCACACTGGATGACACCCTTCTCATGTGTGTCTAGGCTGACGCTCGAACCCTTAACAAATTGGTGAGAGTTAAGTGCATTACTACTGTACCAACATCCATGGATTTTCATGTTACAACCTGTACTATATCCAAATTTCATGCATCCATAGTGGATAGTCTTTTAAATACAATTATCTTTTATCTTGAGAATGCCACACCCCTAGCACCAAGTCCATGAGAGTGTTAATCTATATGTAGGCTTCTATTTACTGTTTGATTATATAGTACATGATATCTTCTGTATCTTTCCTTTATACTATATGAAAGAAAAATAAACTTTGGTTCCTTCAGAGTGCATTAATGTGTTCATGCGGGACGCCCCTCAGCCTGGGCACTGACACAGGGGGATCTATCCGCATACCAGCATTCTTTTGTGGTCTCTTTGGTCACAAACCAACAAGTGGTAAGATACTGTACACTTTTTATACATGGAAATGAGGGGATGGACATCCAGGAAGAAGCAGCGTGCATGAATGAGCAGAAAGAATAGCATTGAGTAGGTGTTAGGGAATGACGTACTGCTGGCTAAAGGGGTAAAACAGGTTAAGGGCCCTAGAGAGGAAGGTAAGTACAATTGCAGAACAGGAGGAAATATGAATGGCAGTTCTTGAAGGAGGAATGTGTACTGTATATGTATTATGTATTTGCTCTTGTTTCTGACCACCCTGCCTTCATTATATATATATATATATATATATATATATATATATATATATATATATATATATATATATATATATATATTGTATTTACGTCTTTATTCAAGACATCTGAAGATGTCTTGAATAAAGACGAAAGCTAAGGTACTCCGTTGTTTCCATTTTCCCGTGTGATTTTATCAAGATTTATCTTATCCACGTTTTCATTGTGGATTTACATGAAATATATATATATATATATATATATATATATATATATATATATATATATATATATATATATATATATATATATATATATATATATATATATATATACACACACACACACCTAGACCCCGACTTACGACGGGGTTAGGGACCCAAATCCAGGTCGTAAGTCGACATAGAAAAATTATTATTATTTTTTTTTTTAATAAAAAATCTACAATGAAATACAGTACAGTAAAAGTAATGAATAATGATGAATGGATACAGTACAGTGAAAGTAATAAATAATAAGGAATGGATACAGTGTGACTGAGCACTTAACCTTTAATGTAGTCAGCTGAATGCACATGGGGCCCCCATAATTTTCTAATTATACATGGAGACTACATTAACTGGAAACGTTTCGGTATAGAAAATGCGTGTGTCATTTAAAAAAAAAATAATAATTTTTTTTATCTATATCTGAGGCGGTCGTAAGTCCCGACGGTCGTAAGTCCACGTAGTCGTAAGTCGGGGTCTAGGTGTGTGTATATATATATATATTGGGAACTTACGAAAGATCCCTGGAGAAAAAAAAAAAAAAAAAAAAAAATATATATATATATATATATATATATATATATATATATATATATATATATATATATATATATATATATATATATATATATATATATATATATATATATATATATATATATATATATATATATATATATATACATACACAGTGACTGCTTAAATCTAACACCTTTGTTAATCATTTCGATTAACGAACTGCCTTCCATAAGGATCTTCAATTCGGTTAACGAAAAAAAATTTGGTTAACGAAGTTCTTACGAACCGACCTCAACATGTTTTCGCTTGCACTGACCGGGCAACCAGCTTTAGTATCAGTCCGCCAATACATTAATCGGTTCTAGGGCTTAAATTCCTTACTATTTTAGTAAATATCAAGAAGTTTATACTATTTAATAATTTTAAAAGTTTAATATTAACTTTTTTAGTCATTTTAACAATTATTGAACATAATTGAAGGTAAAGTGACTAGTTTAATGCGCGGCATCCAGCCTCTTAACACAGCAAACAGGAGTTAGTCTCTCTCTGTTTTCACTGGAGGTAACATCTTGCTCGAGACTCACTTCAACTAAACGCTTTTTTCTGTGTTTCCAAGCAAATTATTGGTCATTTTGAAATATATTTTACATATTGACAATATATAATGCAGTGTTGATTTAAAGAAAATAATCTTGAATTACACCAAGAGAGCTAAAATTTTATGGGTGAAATGGCGCCATGGGGTGACTTCTCTTCCACCCCAATGCCTTCTCTTCTTCCTTCTCCTCCACCCCCATTCGAAATCCCATCATCATCTTCATCATCCAGGAGCCTTCTACATACACACCTCAAAGTAAGTGAACTTTTCTACCATTTTTGTTGAATTTAGGAAATATTCAGTGAGCTGGAACCAATTACCCAAAAACCCATTGAAACAATGGTTTCGGTTAACGAACTTTTCGGTTAACGAACGACCTTCTGGAATGGATTGAGTTCGTTAACAGAGGGGTCACTGTATATATATATATATATATATATATATACAGTTAACCCTCACTTTACGCGGTTAATGTAACCCGCAGGGTCCCGCGGAAAGTGAGGAACGCGTAAAGTGAATAACATAACATATGGGATTAATTGAAATAGAGTCCGGGCCGACCCCCAAACTCCACTTTTTGATGACACACAACTTTGTTGTGATGGTATGAAAAAACAAGTAATATAGAAGAGGTTAGGTTAGGAAAAATAAAGGTTAACATAGGAAAAATAAAGGTTAACATAGGAAAAATAAAGGTTAGGTTAGGAAAACTAAAAGTTATGTGGAACACTTACGTTAGTAGAAGAGATGGGTTGGCATACGGGGATGGAGGCTGGTTCCGAGGCAGAGGGCAGATTATTGGCCCTCATCTGTATCACTTGTATCAATTGTATCACTATCCACCACAGAGGCTTGCAGGGCCTCTTTGTCAAACCCCTCAAAGTCCATATAAGTCCATATCCTCACTATCATTATCACTATCACTGACTTAGGCCGGCTGTGGCGGGTGGCGGGTGAAGAACTCGGTAATGTTTTGATGACTGGGCGACCTTGTGTGCACCCTGCTCGCGCCGCTCTCCGCGTAAAAGGGTACACACACCGCGGAAAGTGCGCATTCCGGTTTCGGCAGGGTACCGCGTAAACGTGGAAACACGTAAAGTGGGACCGCGTAAAGCGAGGATTGACTGTAATGTTTTATGTATATACAGTTGTACCCCACTTAACGCGGTCAATTGAACCCAGAGGGTCCCGCGTTAAGTGAAATCCGCGTTAAGTGAACAACAGAACATATGGGATTAATTCCAATAGAAACCGGCCCGACCCCCAAACTCCACTTTTTGAAGGCACATACCTATGTTGTAGTAAAAATAACATCTTAATTTTATGATGGTACATGCACACAATTAATACTTAAGAGAAATAGAGAAATACAGTCGCCAAGTTAATGTCCATTCAAATAATGGACTCAACTCCCTCCCCCTCTCACACTACACAGCCGGCTAACAGATGGTCGGTCGGTCCCTCCCTCCCCCCCCCCACCAACCGTCCCAAGGAGATGTGTGGGATAACCTCAAACTAAAGTTAGGAAAATATAATTGACATTGCTGGATTCCTTGTAAGACCAGGAATATTTTGAATATAAATGTCATATATTTTGGACAAAAGATAACATAGTTACCTAGAGAAAAATTTTTATCTAAAAATTGTAAGTTTAAAGCAAAATATATGATGTTTATATTCAAAATGATCACCAAATTATAAGAATTCCAGCAATGTAAATTATATTCTGACCGGGTAATTTGTATGAATTTTATGAGCTAAAACAAATATCTTCAGTTAATAAAAAAAAAATAATCTTCACGACACTATCTGTCAATCAAAGTACCCCACCTTGCCTCCCCCCCTCTTCCAACCGCACGGTCAGTCCCAACCCTCCCCCCCACCCCCCACCAATCCTCCCTTCCAGAGTTTTTAACATTTAGTATTAAATAATACCTCAGATTAAAGTTAGGATAATATAATTGACATTGCTGGATTCCTTGTAAGACCAGGAATATTTTGAATATAAATGTCATATATTTTGCACAAAAGATACCATAGTTACCTAGAGAAAAAATTTTATCTAAAAATTGTAAGTTTAAAGCAAAATATATGATGTTTATATTCAAAATGATCACCAAATTATAAGAATTCCAGCAATGTAAATTATATTCTGACCGGGTAATTTGTATGAATTTTATGAGCTAAAACAAATATCTTCAGTTAATAAAAAAAAAAATAATTCTTCACAGGGTAACAGATGGTCGGTCGGTGGTCCCTCCCTCCCCCCCCACCCCCCACCAACCGTCCCAAGGAGATGTGTGGGATAACCACTAAATTTTAATAAATAATACCTCAAACTAAAGTTAGGATAATATAATTGACATTGCTGGATTCCTTGTAAGACCAGGAATATTTTGAATATAAATGTCATATATTTTGCACAAAAGATACCATAGTTACCTAGAGAAAAATTTTTATCTAAAAATTGTAAGTTTAAAGCAAAATATATGATGTTTATATTCAAAATGATCACCAAATTATAAGAATTCCAGCAATGTAAATTATATTCTGGCCTGGTAATTTGTATGAATTTTATGAGCTAAAACAGGCAGTCAGGCAGGGTGGCGGGTGGGGCAAATCTAAAAATAGCGTCTCGGACACTCGCTGCGTATATGTGGAAAAAATCCGCGTTAAGTGAAAGTTCAGCTTTGGCAAGGCACCGCGTATATGCGAAAACGCGTTAAGTGAAACCGCGTTAGGCGGGGTAAAACTGTAGTGGGATTTCAAACATTGTTCCGTAAGTATGGCACCCTGAGTACAATTCAAATATTCCAGAAGTAAAGTAGCAGAAGAAAGTTCAGATGTAACAAGATTGTATGGATGGAATGCATCTGATTAGTTCCTGGTAAAGCAACTAGTACTTTGTTTAAGTGGATACTGTACACTGAAATTTAATGAGAACATATAGTGACAACATTATTTTATTTTCCCAATACCATGTGACCTATGTGACACAGATGTAGAGGGGCATGACTTTGCTGTCATGTTGTTGTTTTTTTAATGATATAATGGTGGGAACTAAATTATTAAAAAGAAAAAAGAAATGTTTATACTGTACTGTAGTCTATAAAATTCTATGATTGAGTTAGAAATACAATTTTGTCACCCTGAATAATTTATCTAAAGGTTTTTCTAAATATCGTAAATTTATGTAAAAGCACAAAAAAAATGTACATGAAACAGGCCATCAATTATAGAGGTATTTTTGGGAAGTGAATGGCATTCAACTTTTCATATGTAAGAATTGTTGATTCCAGTGTCCATCATAGTCACGATATATTAGATATAAATAAAAATTTGGTAATACTGTACAGTATAAGTATCACGAATGAATGATCAACAAGTTTCTTTCAATAAAATTTACTGAAAAACAATTATTTCGACACAACATAATGTTGAAAAAAATGCTTAAGGAGTTATCATAACAAAAATACCACTGTTTCACCAAAATGACCCAAAATGGTTTATCTAAACACTGGAAACAATAATAACAAAGAGAAACCATATCTTCTATATCACATTCTATGTCACAGGTGATACAGAGAAACAAGGTTAAAGAAAGCTGTAAACACTGCTGCCAGGCATATGAAAGCTCACTGCACCACCGAGTGCTCATTGAGTACCCTGAGTGTGTGAGAGCCGGAGGAAAAATTAGTTTCCCAAGACATTTTTACCCACAAATGTTCATGCACTCCTTAGTTTTTAAAAACCCCATGCAGCCAAAAAAAAATCATATGCACACGAAAACCCTGAGTGTTAATGTACAGATAGTTGGTGGTAGTAAAGACCCCCAACAAACTACTGTAATTTGCAAATGGCTGTTGCACTCCATCCTTAACATTTTAATTTTAATTTTCTCTTTTAGAAGCCTATGAATATTTTTTAATAATGATATAAAAATAAGAATACAGTATATTAAGAAATGTTACAGGTAGGTGCATTCCCATACATTTCATAACGGTGACTCTCAGCAGCCATTTCTTTGACCACTCCTGAAGCCTGTAGAGGTCTTCCTGTAACTCTTCACTGTTTGTTTGGTTCTTAATTTCTCTGAATAGCATAGTGTCATCTGGTATATCATTTATAAAACATATGAACAATGGTCAAAGCACATTACCCTGCGGCACCCCACAAGTGATGGGTTCACATGATGATTTTGAGTCATAATGACAGTCTCCACTCCACAACAGGATATTTTCCAACACTTAGCAGTAAAAATAAATTTGTCTTTAGAATTAAAATATTTTCATTGCTGATTTTTATTACTACTTCCATGTCTTTTTGAATCAGGTGTGGTGTCTCTTCGAGGCTGCAATGTTCACTTTGATAAAGAGTGGAGCGATATGCAGTGTGCTGGGCCCCTCACAAGACATGCTAGAGACTTGATGCCTATCCTTACTGTTCTTGTAGGGGAAAATTTTACAAAGTTATCAATTGGGAAACATGTAAGTATGAAGATTACAGAAAAGCTGTGATAATTTATGGGTCAGGCACCAGTGAATAACATAACATATGGGATTAATTGAAATGGAGTCCAGGCCGATCCCCAAACTCCACTTTTTGACGACACATAACTATGTTGTAGTAAAAATAACATCTTAATTTTATGATGGTACATGCACACAATTAATACTTAAGAGAAATAGAGAAATACAGTCGCCAAGTTAATGTCCATTCAAATAATGGACACGACTCCCTCCCCCTCTTCTCACACTACACTGCTGGCTCTTCCCTCTGAGAAATTTTGGGGGGAAAACCAGGTATAGTAATAAATAATACCTCAAACTAAAGTTAGGATAATGTAATTGACATTGCTGGACTCCTTGTAAGACCAGGAATATTTTGAATATAAATGTCATATATTTTTCACAAAAGATAACATATTTACATCTAAAATTTGTATGTCTAATGCAAAATCTATGTTGTTTATATTCAAAATGATCATCAAATTGTAAGAATTCCAGCAATGTAAATTATATTCTGGCCGGGTAATTTGTATGAATTTTATGAGCTAAAACAAATATCTTCAGTTAATAAAAAAAAAAAATATTCTTCACGACACTATCTGTCAATCAAAGTACCCCACCTTGCCTCCCCCCCTCTTCCAACCGCGCGGTCAGTCCCAACCCTCCCCCCCACCACCAATCCTCCCTTCAAGAGATGTTGGGTGAAAAATTTAGATTTTAACATTTTGTATTAAATAATACCTCAGATTAAAGTTAGGATAATATAATTGACATTGCTGGATTCCTTGTAAGACCAGGAATATTTTGAATATAAACGTCATATATTTTGCACAAAAGATAACATACTTACTCAGATTAAACATTTTATCTAAAAATTTTATGTCTAATGCAAAATATATGATGTTTATATTCAAAATGATCACCAAATTGTAAGAATTCCAGCAATGTAAATTATATTCTGGCCGGGTAATTTGTATGAATTTTATGAGCTAAAATAAAAATCTTCAGTTAATAAAAAAAAAAAATTCTTCACACGGTAACAGATGGTCGGTCGCCGGTCCCTCCCTCCCTCCCCCCACCAACGTCCCTACTAGATAAATGTGTGGGAATACCAGACTGTTTACCTTTTTAGTAATAAATAATAAATCAGACTAAAGTTAGGATAATATAATTGACATTGCTGGATTCCTTGTAAGACCAGGAATATTTTGAATATAAATATCATATATTTTGCACAAAAGATAACATATTTACTCAAGAGTAAACATTATATCTAAAATTTGTATGTCTAATGCAAAATCTATGATGTTTATATTCAAAATGATCATCAAATTGTAAGAATTCCAGCAATGTAAATTATATTCTGGCCGGATAATTTGTATGAATTTTATGAGCTAAATTAAAAAAAATTATACTTCACCGTGTAAAGGGGTACACCCACCGCGGAATGTGAGCATCCTGGGTTCTGGCAGGGCACCGCGTAAACGTGGAAACGCGGAATGTGGGACCGCGTAAAGTGAGGGTTGACTGTATGTGTATATATATATATATATATATATATATATATATATATATATATATATATATATATATATATATATATATATATATATATATATATATATATATATATATATATATATATATATATATATATATATATAGTCACAAAATGACAAAATGTTTTTCAATTCAGTCATCTTTTTTCTGGTTCCAGTATAGTACAGTATTGCATAAAAGATGAGGGTTCTCTTACAATATTTGCTAACACTTAATGAAAAAAAAAGATAAATACCCCTGCACAGTAGAGTAGAGTACAGTATAGTACAGCCACGTATCTTCTAGTTGCTCTCCTTTACCTACAGGTGGACCTAGGAACCCTTCAAATTTTCACCATGGAGAATGATGGTAATGGTATTTTAACAACACATATGCACTCTAGTCTATTAGCTGTACAGAGAGCTGTCACCCAACACTTCCGGCACACTTATGATTGCACAGTGCATAAGGTAAGGCTGTGGGGGAAGTGTAAAACACTACTGAAAATTGAAAATCTTTTATTTTTAAATTTGATGTGTAAACTTGATATTATACAGTACTGTATAGTATCAACTTGACATACTATGAATATGGTGCATAACTAGAGCAGAAAACTGTAGCACAGTTTGATTAAAACATCTGACATCATTACGTGTTTCTTGTCTAAAAAAAAATAGTAGTGGTAGAAAAGAGTAATGGTTCCTAACTCAGTGCCATAGGTTTGATTAAATCACAACACAGTGTAGTCATTCCATTCCACCATACATATGGGCAACCGTAACATATATACATATGTAAATACAGTAGGCCCTTAAAATTCGTGGGGTTAGGTTCTCAAAATGGCTGCGAATCGCCAAATCCGCGAATAACATTTGCTGACCAGGCAGGGGGTACATTTTTACTTGTGTACAAAGAAATGTATATTCCCTTTATGTTTGCCCTTAAGACAATTATTTGTTTTACCTGTTTTGTATATATATATATATATATATATATATATATATATATATATATATATATATATATATATATATATATATATATATATATATATATATATATGGTCAGCACACAGTGAAGAGTCTGTCTCATTGGTAACATATAAACATTATGCAGTTGGTCAACAGATTCATCATGCCACTACAAAATTGTCCAGCTTGTACATGCCGTTACTCAAATTCATGTTGGACAATTTTGTAATTAAGAAGATTTGTGACCAGGTGAGAAGGCTGGGTCACCTGACCATCTGACCTGACCACCAACCGTTGTGTGCTATTTAAAGATTAGTAGGGTCATTACCTAATACCTGACCATTGTGGACCTGGTCTCACCCTTCTCTGTATATATACACCTTGATTTGTATTTCTCTCTCTAGTCTGTACTCACCCCTGAAGATGTGAATTACACGAAAGCGCTTGGGAACTTCGTGTTTTCTTCTTTCCTTGTGGTTATCAGCATATACCTAGATCACGCGCACCTACAGTGATTTACTTGCATATATATATATATATATATATATATATATATATATATATATATATATATATATATATATATATATATATATATATATATATATATATATATATATATATATATATATATATATATATATATATACTGTATATATATGTGTGTGTGTGTGTAGACACACACATATTTACTATTGTACAGGCAAAGGAAATTACTGTCTCTAGAACAAATGGCTCCCTGTCCCACCCTCGAAAATGTCGGCAAATTTAAAACTACCCACAGACATTCTTGGGTACATCCAGGGTGTCATCCGCGAATGATAGAGAACAGCGAAATAAAAATCCACGAATTATCCGTGTGTGTGTGTGTTATAATTCTCATTATTTCTAGGTTGTTATTCCTGGAATGCGACGGTCTTTCCAAATATGGCAGGAGAAAATCAAAGAAGAATACGGTAATAATACTCCAATGTTTGAACAACTAGCAGACAACAAGGTAAAAGTTTGGTGAAACAAATGACTTGAGTGTTTTTAGTCTTAGCTAGTACATAGCTAGATCATTTAGTAACACTGTATACTCCCATGGGTTCATTCCTGTTGCCATGCAGGGTAAATGTGAGTTGGTTGAGCTGGACACCAAAGCTATTGTAGGAGATATTTTAAATGATGAAAGGATATACCCTGTACTGTACTTTACAATTCAGTGAATTTGGCCTAATCAATGGGGTTTGGTTTTGACAGACTTCAGGGACTGTAAATATTGGAAACTATATCTGTGGTGCCTATGGGAAATCAAGGGTTACATTTTAAATCCCCAAATAATTTTTATTGTATTTTTAATATACTGTGTTTGCTAATGTATAAAATGCATTGGTATATAATATGCATCATGATTTTAAAAGTATATATTTTGACAAAAAATAATTTAGTGAATACCGGTATAGGTAGTGTATACAGTACAGTACTGTACTTCAATATTTACTCGTTGTTATAAAGGAAACAAAATTCAGTCAAGCAAAAAAAATTCTTGGAATACCAATATTGTACAGTATGTTAATTACTAGTACAGTAGTTACAGGACTACACTGGTTAACACAATGCATTCCAAAATTTTTTGATTACAGGCTGTTTTTTACAATTTCCTTCAATTTTATTTAGGGAAATGTAAAAACTGAATGAGGCTGGGTTTATACAGTACAGTACAGTACAGTACAGTACAGTACAGTACAGTAAAGTACAATACAGTAATACAGTACTCATATTTTCAAAAACCTTTTGCTTAAGAGAGTGAGCCTCTTCTGCAGTACCCTTTCTGAATGTGCCTGCTATTCTTCCATTTATTGTGATTACTGCTTACCCATGCCAAACTCTGGTTAGCTTATGCAGTTTTAGATATTTGAAAATGTGCTAAAAAAACAAAACATTTATGAGTCAACATGATTTTAATCTTTTCAATATTCTGGTAATTTTAGAAAGATCATACAAGATCTTTGATTGCTAAAATGTAATATTATCCACGATCTTCCCTTAAAATTTCCATATAATTTCATCAAAAATGAATTTAAAACTGAGCACTTCATGCTTACAAGATTTATGTCTGCTGACAAACCTATAAACATACAGATGGCAGTAGATAATTTTTCATAAGCTGCTGTTTATTTTCCTCAGGGAGAAATCAATGTATGGACAGAGATTACACGAGCCATATTGGGTCGTGCACGACACACCATACCCTCCTTGGCTCAGGCTGTTCTTGACATATTGGATAGGGAGATTACATTCCTTAAGGACCAGACAAAAGTACTGATGGGCAAAGAAAACACAGCTGTTTCCACATCAAGAATGCAGATGGAAACTCAGTGGAAGACACTACAGATGAGAGTACAGGTAAGTTGAAAATGGCATCTACTGTACAATAATTTCCCCCTCAGCTGGAATATTTAATCCCCCAAAAATTCCATTGCCCAGAATTGAGGCTTTTGTAGTATTCAGAGAAAAATCTCTCTGTTCCGGGCATCTGAACGAATTTCTGAGAGATTCCACCATGTGCCGACATGTACCAAGCGTGTGCATAGGTAGGCTCAGACTGCCTGTGAGCTATCATTGGCTACTACAGTAATGTCATGGATGCCTATGATTGGCTGATGTATCTCACAGCCTATCTCCTCAAATTTCAGCATCATGACACTCTGAGTTCATCGTCTGCTGTGTTTGCATACGATCTATGTTGTGCAGTACTGTACATTACTGTACCAGGATACAATCAGTCAAGAATACTGTCAAAGCAGTGTTGAGACATACAAATTTATTGCAGTTATGTTCTATAGTACTGTACTATACATTCAGTAAGTGCGAAAGTACCATATGTACAAGTACTGTACATAGCAGAGTTGGCAGTGTATGCCTACTGTAGGCAAGTATGTAGAGGGTGTATGTACAGTATACTGTAGATGATCATTTTACCGCCGATCACTTATCTGTGCCAGGGCTTTACCGTGCTTTATTAATTGAAACCGATACTACTAGTATTTAACTGCATCAAACACGCCTTAACCGTGTGCGTGGGAATTGGCGGGTGAGGAGTGGAAGTCGCGGTAGCGACCGCACACAGTTTCTCACTGTCCATTGTTGTATGCAGACCTGGGATACTCGCTTTCATCTGGTAGTGTACTATTGCGTACAGCAGGATCTTGAGTTTTGTCACTAATTGCTGCTGGTTTAGTGTCACTAAACTCAATACTGTATCATGAAACTAATGACCCACCCAGAAAATGACAATAATGTATTCATACACATTTATATACTGTAGTGCATAGTGTTGATAACAATATTTATACTCACTCATAGTATAGAATAACTTGACAGTGTCAGTGTTGTGCTTGACATGTCTGGTTGATGGGTTCAGAGGCAGAGAGGGCTGGTTACTGTTTCCTCTCTGCTCCCTCCTCTACACCCGATCACTCTGTCCACCCACAGTATCAAACCCCTGAAAGTCCTGAGGTAACTTTGATAATATTCCCTCTAGTACAATTAGTATTGTTTAAAAATTTTTTCACACAAATCAGCTTACTAGCCGTTGGGCGGTTGGTCTATCCAGTGTTAGTACTGTACATTAGGAAGCCAGGGACAGGAAAACCTGTGATGTTTAGTAGGTTAACACTGGATAAAACCCTTCTCACATGTGTCTGGACCGAGGCTCGTACCCTTGACATATTGGTAAGAGTTATGTGCATTACTGCTGTACCACCAACAACCCAAAACAAAACATGTTGAACCAATGTGAAAAATTTATGATAATTTAACTCAATAAATATATATATATATAAACTTAAAATGTGTACATATTTAGAACCAAAAGTACTGTATGTACAGTGGTCCCTTGGTTAACGAACACATTTCGTTCCACAGAGTCGTTCATTAACCGAAAATTTCGTTAAGCGAATCCATTGTTTCAATGGGATATTGGGTAATTGGTTCTAGCTCACAGAAAAGTACATACAAAGTAAAAAAAAAAAAATGCAGTTAAGTACACTTACTTTGAGATGAGTATGTAGAAGGTTCCTGGTTGATGATGATGATGGGAATTGGAAGTGGGGGTGGAGGAGAAGGGAGAAGAGAAGGAAGTGGGGATGGAGGAGAAATCACCTTTCAAGGGACCCATGCTTGATGCAGTAATTTCACCAATAAAATGTTAAGTTCACGAGGTGTAATTCAAGATTATTTTATTTAAATCAACACTGCACTATATATATTATCAATATGTTAACTAAATTTCAGAATGACCAATAATTTTAATGTAAAAATGCAAAAATATTCAAGACACCAACAAAATCGATGTTCACTTCACTGTAAACAAAGCCAAACTGATGCGTGGTGGGTGAGTCAAGCGGCTGATGGGCGCACAAAAAACTAGTTCCCTGTACTGCATATATTATGAATATGTCAACTAAATTTTTAAATGACTTAATTTTAATATAAAAAATGAAAAAAAATATTAAAGAGCACAACTTTCTTGATATTTACTCCACTGGAAACGAATGTAAACATAGAACAGATTACTGAATTGGCAGACTAGCCAATCAGCTGATGCTCACAAAAAAACTGTTTGTCGTAAGGATTTCGTTAATTGAAGTTTTGTTCGTTAACCGAATTGAAGATGCCTGTACACTACCCGGAAATCTCTAACCCAGAATTGGTCTGCACCAATTATTCCGGCTAATGGGAAGATAATGATTTGGTATTCTTAGTGAGGCAGATAGAATACATTGATGTACATGTACAGTAGCTAAAAAAAAGTAACGGGTATGTGCATACTGTGTGAAACAATATGAGACCACGGACAATAAGTACCATATTGGGATATACGTGTTGTGTCCTTATACTGTGTGATAGTAATCACTTAACTGTTTATTTTATTCCTATATACCAACTCACCTCGTGTTGGATACTGAATGGCGGTGGGTGAAGACACGCATACCAACCCTCCCAAGACGTCACAAGTTGTACATATAATTTTGGAAGTCATCGGACCCACCCTGACAGATACTTTTTTTACCTACTGTACATGTACAATAATCAACCAGTATTCTCAAGACTGTTTCCTTAACATAACTTCTGTTTTTTAATGCATCAAAAACATAAATAAAGCCTTTCACCTTGATTAAGGAAAACTCATTCCAAATTTAACTTAACCATCAGACAAACTTCACTTGTGTGTGTGTACAGCATTTATACCTCAATGAAACATTTTAAATGTTTACAAAAATAAATACTTTTCATCCATTTCAATCAGCGTTTGCTTGGCGATAATGGAGTGCTCCTGTACCCAAGTCATCCCATGTTAGCACCCTACCACAGTGAGTCGTACTTTCGTCCCCTCAACTTTACCTATGCAGCTGTCTTCAATGCACTGGGATTTCCTGTAACTCAGGTGCCTCTTGGACTAGACCATAATGGTCTTCCACTGGGTATACAGGTGAGAAGCATCTAGAAATTTTAGTGATAGTGCAAAAAATGAGTCATTGCAGTAATTTGTAAATACATATTTCATGACAATGAGAACATTTTGCTTTTATTTAAGTATTTTGAAGTAAAAATACATAAGTAATTGTTAGATGTGTTAATTGCCTGTATGTTCGCCTGGCGAGTTAATGCTAGGCATTTACATACATAGGTATAAAGCTAGAGGTTGCATTCTGGATTAAAGAAAAAAAGAGGCAAAGGGTGAGGCGACGGAGTTAGGTGGTGAGGTGACATGCCAAGACACTTATACAGCACACCATTGTCTTATGACACTTTACTTTATAATTTCTATTTTAAAATTAATTGATACATGATGGCACGATTTGCCTACTTTTGCACTTAGACAACAGATCAGTAATAAACCAGGGCCTATGGAGACACATTATACACTAGTGATGTCACGAAGCTTTGTAACTGCAACCACAACTGCAGAGCAACCGTATAAATTATCACAACCTGTACTCAAATGTACTAAGTTAATTACTAAAAATTGTATGTCTAGTGCAAACTATGTGATGCTTATACTCAAATTAATCGTTATCTTGTGCAAGAATTCAAGCAATGCAAGTTACATTCTGCAAAGTCAAGTCAGTAATATTTTATAAGTGAAAAATTTAAACTCCCTGCATTTTATAATCCTTCAGTACCTGAAAACAGCATTTTTTTTCCCCTGGTATTAGCCCACCCGAGCACAGGTCACTGACCCACATCAGGGCCTGGAGGGGTGAAAATATTATTATTATTATAATAATAATAATAATAATAATAATAATAATAATAATAATAATAATAATATTATTATTTAATAATAATTAATACATACAGTATAGATAAAAATTATAACCAAAAAATAAAAATACCTGTACTACTAATAACAATAACCATAAATAAATACACAAACCAAAAAATAAATCAAGAGTGAGAAACGATATACAGTATGTTGTGTTGTCAATAGTAAGAGAAACAATTGAAACCCTGCAATTATGTGTAAATGAGGCAGAAAGTCAGATCAGCAACCTGGGACTTGGTCACAATTTTTGTGATGCCATATGGCAGCAGGGTCTACCATAGGCAACACATTATGCTTCCAATATCTTCCCAGGTGGTAGTACGTACCTCCCTGTTTGATAGCTGCCTACTACCTACATGAGCGTTAATCTCCCCTCCTGGCTGTAAGCACCCCACCTCCCCCTCCCAGCCAGCAGGGGAGCCAGATGGTGGTGAGTGATAACAATTAATGGGATGAATTTTGTTTTTGACTCAATGTTTTCTCTTATAAAATGTCACAGATTGACTAAGCAGCATATAACTGGCATTGCTGGAATCCTTGCAAGATAGTGATTAGTTTGAGTATGAACATCTCATAGTTTGCACAAGAGATAAAACTTTTAATCCTTTAGCATAGTACATTTGAGTACAAAATGAGTACAGAAATATGCTGCTCAAAATTATGGCTTTTTCACCGGGAAAAGTTTTTATAACTAGCCCCAGTGGTTACGATATTATGGTATCGAATGTTACAGAATATCTCAAATAAATTCTTTTGTTAAGTTCTGTACATAGAGACTTGAGGATAGAAACTGTAATAGTTTGAGCTCATTAATACCAGTACCCTTCATATACAGTAAAATACCTAATTTTACCTTTATTATTCAGCTTGTCATTTAAGGATATCATATTGGAAATGTCTTGTAAAGAATTTGTTCAGGATCATTATGGTATCAAATTCATCTCTGTAACACAAATAGAAGTTTATAATGACTGCTGTGAGGAAGAGAGAGAAGGGTCCATTGGAGGGTAAAGTGACCGTGCTCTCCCTCCACAAAGGGTCGCCTCACTGATTGTTTGTCACCAACTACAGTACTGTATGGCCTCATTCATGATACAATATTGTTTATTTGTTTTTCATTAATTAGTAAAGGTACATTATTGTAATAATCTGTGCTTATTAATACGTGTATCCTTCATATACGTACAATACAGTACAGTACTATGTATATGCTTCATAGGTAAAAGATAATTTCATTCAAGACATCTTCACGTTATAAGACCCTCTAATCCTCACCCAACAATGGGTGACCTAACATTGCATCAGGTCAGGTTAGTAACATGACCCAATAATCTCCCACCCAACTCCTATCACAAGTGTTTATTACAGTTACCGGTATGTATTACAGTCAGCTGAGTGAAGTGTCTGCCTACTCTAGGTTAAAGATGACAGTTGAGTACAATATATACAGTACATAGTATACATTATTATGTCTACAGTATGAACAATATTGTACGTGTACAGAGGTGTTTGCGTAAATAGCTACAGCTCCTACGAGCTGCATCGTTTACTCTTGGAAATTAATATCCCACTGTCTTTGCTGTAACACAGCTCTCTTCATGCCCGTATCATATAGAGCTTTCGTTTTTTAAATATATTTTTTAACCTTTATGCCCTGGGTGACGTACTAAGACGTGCGCCATTTCCCCGCCAGTGTTTAAATGCCCAGCACAGGTTATCAGGTTTCCAATGTGACTATTTACATGACACGCCACAAGCTCGACCACATGGAAGCTTCCTAAACGTTATTACCTACTTGTGTTTGTTTCATTTCCATTGTTTGTCTATTTTATCATGTTATATCAAAGTAATATTGCTAAAAGTAGTGTAGTTGTATTGCAGTATTACTGGAAAATAATGTTATGATTATGTTATAAATGTATTTATTTGTAGAATTATTATTTTATTCATTACTTGCTCTATCAAACACAAAGACAGCCAGACAGCCTGGCAAGGGACTGCGTGTGTTACCAAGCACTTTTTATAAAAATAATGCAAATAAAATATTCTAAATTAATTATTTATAGCAAATAATTATTATGATCAGTAAATATATGCATTATTGGCCATCTCAGACGCAAAGGCAAGCTAAAAATAGCTGGTAAGTGTGTAGGTGACCACGAGCTCAGCTGTCCAAACAACACTGTCCCCTTATATCCCTCCCTCCCTCAGCACTGCCAGAGAAATTTCTAGAGGGTCAATATATAGTTTTTCTTACTTATTTTTTATTGTTTTATCAATTAAAAAGGTTAAAAAAAAATTGGAAAAGTTTTGATTTTTCTCGATTTACCCCCGTGTGGGGGATACTGCCAGCGGCACCCTAACCCAGGACAAGGAGAAAATTCAACTTGTAAAAGATAAACTGCACAAAAAGATATGATTAGATATATTGCAACCATATTTTAAAGTTGATTCCCTGCTATGAATGTGGTAATTTGCTTATCATCCAGAGTTATCACCTTATACTAAAATAATAAATTCATTATTTCTTTTATGTGAATCAGTGTACTGTATAGCAGTTTCCTTCTAGCCAGTGTGATGTGTTCACAGGTTGTGGGAGGAATGTACCAGGATCATTTAACCATCTCTGTAGCTGAAGACCTGGAGAAGGCTTTTGGTGGATGGGTTTGCCCATCCAAGATTCTATGATTTGATTACACACTCAAGACCTAATAGATTAATTGTTAAGTAATCACTTTCTAGAACTTGATATGCATTAACTTTCAAGCATATAGTATGTTTATGAGTGAATATTTTTATAATATTTGTGAGAAAAAAAATAGTTCTCCAGTGTTAAGTACAGTAACTTTGAAACTTTTATGAAGTACAGGTTTCTTTAATTCACCTGTGACTAAATAAAGTCATCTTTTATATACACAGTATTATTTTTTACCCCAAATGAAGGGGGAGAGAGCCAGGGGTAGGCCAAGAATGACGTGGGGAGAAGTTGTAAGAAATAACATTCGAGTTAAGAACCTGACAAGAGAGACTGCAAAACACCAAGCAGCATATTTGTTACCTCCAGTGACATAAAGATTTGCTCATCTTTAAATTACCAGTAATAAGTGATAACCGTGGTAACATTCTGATATGTTCTTATTACCACTATGCTATGTGTATATTCCAGATGATACTAAATGTTACATAATACTTCCTTGAGATAAATGTACAGTATATTTCAGGTACCTTCAAGAGAGCTCAGGCTCTCAACTGGCTCATCCATGTTAATATTATGATTTCTAATCGACTCTGTATCTGTGTTCTTCCGGCTAAATAAACTGTTTCAATATCAATAACAAATCCCACTAAGAAACAAAAATCAATGTTCCGTAAATATATATTGCACAGGGTGTCCACAAACTCCAGTTTGGGTTTTAAGATTTTATTACAACAAAACCCCACCCAAAAAAAGGATAGAATTACAGTTTAAAAACAGTGTCCAGTTGCTAATGATAACAGATCATGACTACCCAGTGGAAAGGTCAATTTGTCATCAGGTTTTCAGAAACAAGATCAGTGACAACTGTCCAATGGGATAGTCACTGTCAATATGGAAAGGATCCTCCCTTCAAACCCGGCATTAAGAAGTGTGACTGACTTGCCTCAAATTGGATGTCCAGGTGCTTCTCAAGAAACTATTGCAAATGTTAAAGACATTCCAACACAGCCCTACAAAGTCTATTTGTCATGTTTCAAATGAACTGCAGCTACCGAGATCAATGGCACAAAAAGTTGTACACAAGAGATTGCACCTTCAAAGTATAAAGTGCACAAATTTCAAGATTTACAACCTAATGACAAGCCTTTGCACTACACTACAAGTTTTCATGTTCCATGCTGTAATCAATTGATAAGGACAATGAGAATCTAAAAAAGGGGTGTTCTTCTCTGATGAAGCTCCCTTTCATAAGTCTGGATGAGTTTAGCACCATAAGGTAGGTGCAAATACAGGAGTCTGAAATCTGATATGAGTTTCATGAACACATTGATATAGCTCCAAAACTTAATGTTTGGTGTGGACTCTTCTACAATAGGATAATTTGCCCACTTTTCTTTGCTAAGCAGAATATCACTGGTGGTGTGTACAGTATCTTGACATGCCGTATGTGGTCCCCCAATTGGAAGAGTTGCAACCATTTGCTATTTTCCAGCAAGTCTACACACTGTACAGTAATTCTATTGTACTTAACTTCCTTGACAAGAACTTCGCTGCCAATATTACCCCCTTACACTTCTTCTTATGGGGGTATGTCAAGGATTGTTTTCCAGACCCCAGTTGCTGACATTGAAAACTTTGTACAAAGGTAACCAATGGCAGCAGGGTGATGAAGGATATGTTGGAGTCTTAAAGCCAATGCTCCTTTGTTACATCTGGGATATTTTGTTGGTTCCTTTAATAGACAGAAATATTGTTTAAAGATGATCATAGAAGATGAAAACTGAATTAGATAGATTTGGTTAAGCTATGTTAAGTAGGTTTGGTTAGGTAGGTTAGATTGGTTAATCTTATAAGTGAATATTCCTGGAGCTTGACGAATGATTCCACTCATTAATCTTGGCAACTGCTGGCCTATACCCACCCCCCAATAATGTAAAGAAGAAGAAAAAAATTATTGACACCCTAGCCTATCCTAAAATAATAATTACTGGTATCATCTAAAAAAAAAGGATGCAGTGCATATATTTTGCTGTAACCGGCTAAGTTCCTACTAGCACCATTGTACCATGAGTGCGATTTGATTGGCAAATCATCCATTACCAGCGAACAACGCTCGAATGATATGTGACCGGCAGTGAAAAGTGCACGAAATGCCAGCAGTTCATTTCATGGCTACATAATGATCGACTTATGATGAAATAAATGACAAATGCTACCAGAGTCACGGTCAAATATAGTTCTCGCTTTGTTTGCCGGTAATGGACAATTAGCCAATCAGAGCGCACTAATGGTAAAATAGCACTACTGTAGTAGGAACTTAACCGGTCACGGCAAAATATCCACTGCGAAAAAAGAAAAGACAAAAAAATTGCAGTCTAAGCAAGGAACAAAAGAAACATTCCAGAAGTGCCGGGCTTAAACAAAGGAGTGACGACCTTGGACCTCAGATGTCCCGACCATAGATTAATGTTCAGGATGGAAATTTAAAAAAAAAGTTATTAAAAAAAATATTTTCTAAATCAACTTTTCGGCCTTCTTATGAAAATGATAAAAATTGGGGTTTATTTTTCTAATTATATTTTCATCAGTGAGTACTATGATAATCATTTCTTCTGCAAATGCTTCATTTGGTAGATATTTAGGCGCCTATGGTGCGCACCACTTTGTCTTCTTGGTGGTAATGAGGCAGGTGTTAAGTTATGCTTGGTTTTATGTTAAGGTTAGGTTAGGTTGGATTAAAAAATTAAAAAATGCACAAACTACGACAGTGTCCTCCATAAAACACAGTAAAATTGCGGCATGTTATGATAGGTTAGGTTATTAAAAAAAATGCACAAACTATGAGTGTCCTCTATTAAACAGTGAGATTGCAATGTTTTTATAACTGTTTATGATGCAAAATTGCAGACGGGTCAGTTGTCAATAATTACCTGGAATGCAACTCATCTGAACCATTTACTGCACCATCTATAGTTAATTATAATTAAGTTGTTGGATCAAGAACACAATTAGGTAAAATTATTGTTTTAGTCATGCACCTATTTGGTAAGTAGGTCATAATCGTTTAAAACACTTCAAAACCATCGGGAAAAAGTTTCAACCTAACCTAAACTAATCCTAAAATTTGCTGCATGACCAAAATGATAATGCCCACAACTAAGTTTGTCTCCTATAATAAAATTGTATAAAGTTAGTGGTTAACTTGTACAACCATTCTGAGGTACAGTATTACACTAGGAATATCCAAATAAATATTTAGTTAGTTTTTTTCGTGTTTTGGCCACAGTCAGACCTCTACACTACAAACGAATCCAGGTAAAGTCACAGGGAAAAAAGTCACAGAAAAAAGTCACAGGAAAAAAGTCAGAAAAAGTCACAGGAAAAAAGTCACCTAACCTAACTTAACCTACGTGAATCATATATAAATTGTGTTGTCAATATGTAAAAGTCATGTATTGTCAGTTAAGAACCGTTTTAAAATATTTTTAGTTTTATTACCTTAAATGCGACTCTTTTTTCCTGTGACTTTTTTCCTAGCCAAAATTATGATTTTTTTTTACTTTTTTTCCCTGTGACTTTATTATATCGTTCACCCCACAAACACCTGACCAATGCTTCACATACCTATTGTAAACAGGTTCTTCCAAGTGTACTCAAGGAAGGTACTCCACCTTCCTTGAGTGTAATCCTTCAGTCATTCTTGTTGACAGTGTTTGTACTATATGTTCATTATACTCCATGCACCTTTGTTCCCACCATTATTGTACAGTATAGACACATGTTTCCTTTTATGTTCATTCTTTGGGACCATTTTATATACCTAATAGGGTAGTATTAAAATAAGAAAAGAGAAAAAAGAATGAAAGACACTTCTTCAGACCTCCACATGTACCAACATGTGTCATAGCTGATTGGTAGGCTGGACCTAATCTGGATTAGTAAAGTTACAATAGTACTTTAATATTAAATTAAAAAAATTGTGAAATGATATTACTGTATTGTTTATTTAATGTTTTTTGTACAAATTGGAATGTGATTATAAACCGTCAAGTGTTGTGAAGCAGTGTTGTTGTTGACTCCATGTCGTCAACACTGTTTGACCAGACAGAAAGACTTATAAGTACAGTATCTGTATTGCAATTTTCCAACCAACAGCTTAAGTGTTTACATTATATCTAAGAAGTGCAGTACTGTTTATACTAGAGCATTATATTTAAACATACAGGAAGACGAAGTATGTACAGTATATTGATACAAGTCATCAATGTTTTACATCCATTTTCCAAGCTTGATTAAGGTAGCTGCAATTGTCTGAATGTTGCTGTTAGGTGAAACGAGAACAGGATGTCCACCAACTCACCATTGCACACCCAGGGCACCAGCCCAGAAAATGCAGCAGAGAACATGGGATGGGCATATTTCTGCTGACCTGGTGCCAATCAGGTATGTTAATGCAAAGTTCTACAGCTCGATGCCCTTTCAAATGCCAACCCACAGCTGACAAAGCAGGGTCACCACTTCCTATAAATTGTTTAGTTAAACGTTACTCTTTAGTCCATCCACAAGATATTTTTTTTTCTGCTTAAATTGTGCTCCAATCATAAATCACCTATAGTGGGCAGGGCATAAAAGAAGGAAATTATTGGTTAAGATTCGTTTTAGGTCGAACATGGAATTTCATATTTCTATTTATACAATTCAGTACAATATAAGGAGAAGGTGCAAAATATATATATATTTAAGACTTCGATTTCACACAGGAAATTATATTCTGAAGCAAGACAGTTTCCATCTGACTCACACGAGTATGTTCCGCCAATCAGCGCGAGTCTCTTTGTGTCAAGCTACTATTTTCCATCACCCAGCATTGATCTCGGGATCCTCTGACTTCTCGTAACTAGTTGCAAGATGTCCCTGTGCACTGCATGTTCTTCCTTGGCTTGGCAAACGATTCATAGTGTATTTGAGAATGATTCCGTTACCATTGACATTTTTAAGGCCCACGGTACTCTGCCTAGCTCTGCGAGGTGTGGAAACTTCAGATTGGACTGTGGTTACTGTGAAGATAAGCACCTTTGGTATTGTGCAAAAAGATGAAAGGTAGCCAAGAAGAAGAAATTTACTCACTGTGGCTTCAGTGTTTCTCCATTTAAGGGAATGTGGCTGGACAGAGCACGCCTCTATCCATGGAAGAACTTGCTATTTTATAGTGCATTTATCAGGAAAGACTTTAATCAGCAGTTCTTTTTAAATTTTGAAAAGCTACTGTTATGAGGTCTGTGAACACTGATTGGTTGAAAAAGACGAGAGTAATTTTGGAAAAATAAAATACAATCGTGGCTGTGAAGTGAGAAGAGTGTGAGTGTTAGGGGACATTGAAACTGTCTCCAAACAAAATTCATATTACCAATGCCTGACTGATGTGCTGATACTCTCATACCGCTAATTCAGTGGTTTGTAAAAGGAGGTACCATCATTCATACTGACCTTTGGAGGGCATACAGTATCCTCGGTGACATTGGTTACACTCACGAAACTGCCAACCATAATGAAAACTCTGTGGATCCTTCTAAAGGCATTCATATACAAAATACAGAATGATTGTGGAAGGATATAAAGAGTTGGGTCCTTTGTGCAGGGAATAAAAAGGAACATTATCGACATTATTTCCCTCGGTACATGTTCCAAGCAGAATACAATGATCACAAGACCAAACTCCACCATCTCCTCCTACAATTAGCATCACTGTATCCTCCAACATCTGTAAATTAAAGTAAGTTTTTTTTACACACTGTGAGGTCCTGGGCTTTACGGTAAGGTTAGGTTAGGTCAGGTCAGGTCCTTCTGGTTAGGAGGTTTTGTTAGGTTCTGGGGAGTCCAGGGGGGCTGGCTAGGAGGTTAGGTTGGGTCCTTCTGATAACATGCTTTCGTTGGGTTTCGTTTAATAATTTTTTTTTTGCATGTTTTTACCTCACAATTTCTTTCATACTTCAAAGCCCTACCCATTTTCTGATAAGGGGGGTGGGGGTGTCATATCTCCATTGTGGCTCATTTGTGACGGAAATAAATAAAGGTCATATTCGTTTGAAACAACACAAAATACACTAGAAAAATCTATTTTTGTTAGTAATGTCCATCTTCGACCTAAAATGAATCTTTACCAAATTACCACTTCCTGGATGCCACTGCTGCACTCCAGCCACTAAGTTCCTTCTATCGAATATGCCGGGGAGGTCCCGGTTAGGAAGTTAGGTTTGGATCTATATATTGCTGTATCATTTTTATTACTTACTATCATCCAAACAACATCGGTGGAAAAATTAACAAAATTGAACAACTGCTTCTGGTGTTAGCCATCTCTTCCACCATTACCTTTTTTGTTGTTATTCTACATACGGTATACAGTACTAAGTACATTACTGCAGTTTACATGTTATTGTTGAATTACACTGATTTCTGATTTAGTATAGGTAGTCTTTGACACATTGATTAAGGATCTGTGATGGGAAAGTAGAAAATTTGGTAATTACAGTAGTTACCATACATGACTGTCCTAAAGAATTTTAAAATTGTGGAATTATTTAATCCCAATTAATTGCTACATATTATTTTGCAATGGGAATTTTTGGTATGTTTGTCTTATTATGTATGCATTAAAGGAATTAAACATGATATACCTGTATTCCAATTCCAGTAGATTTTAATTTGGAAAATTTTATTTAGCTAAATACAGTACAGTAAAGCCTCGAATAACGATGGTAATGTGTCCTCCAATATTGCAGTGTAAGGTAAATTATCGTATCACAAGTCATTAATTACCATTAAAATAAAGCAATAATTATGAGATGCATTCCCAAGTGTGACCTTTTCATATCTTTTGTGTGGCTTTTTACTCTCTTTTCCCCCCAAAACAATAAAATAAATGAAAATTGCAAACTATATTCTTTAAATAATGTTTCTGAATGCACCTTATACTACAATATAAATGAATAATAATATGGTCACAAGAGGAGATGGGACGCCATTGTTTTCATTAGTGTTTGCAACCGGGCGTCCGGGACGATAGTTCTACGTGAGAATATGAAGAAAATAAGACCCTGGTGGTAGCTGTAGTAAAATTAATGTAAAAGAATGAATATATATATATGTTTTAAGTAATGTTACTTAATGTTAATAAATGGAACAATAGAAGTAGCTAACCACTAATAGCAAAGAAAATAAGTGAGATAGATTGGGAACGCCAACATATACAGTATGTGCGCATTTAAGGATACCGCGTCATTTATCTTTTTAAGAATATGTACAAAAGATTCATTATTGTTTATTACTGAATATGTATTTAATTGAATTAATCTTTATACTTATATGCGAAATGAACAATACAATTCATTAATAATACAGTAAGTAGAATATTAAGACACAAGTGGATAACAGATGGCATTGTTGTCAGTGTTTACACCCATAATGTCAGTTATCCACCTGAAACTGAAGAAAATAAGACCCTGGTTGTTGTTGTAGTAAAATTAATGTAAAAAATGTGTTTTAATTAATGTTATTTAATGTACAGTAGAAGTAACCACTGATATTAAAGAAAAAAGTGAGACTGATAGTGGAACGCCAATGTATTCGTGCGCACTCAAGGAAATATCGTCATTTGTCTTAAGAATATGTACAAAAGATTCATTAGTTTATTACTGAATATGTATTTGATTGAATTTATGTTTATATTTGTGAAATGAAAAATGCATAGCCGAGACGTGACCGATCGCCCAAGCGAATAACGAGCCGATCAGTGGTGAAGAGGATAAAAGTAACAGCTCTATTCACGCTCGTATCATATAAAGCTTTTTTTTTTTTAATATATTTATTTTACCAAACTTTTAAATAAAATATTCTGGATTATTTTCATAAAAAATGGTGTCTAACGAAATTAGAAATGATTTTACTGTCTGGTATCAACATTTCTTATTTGTATAAAGGATTGGAATTCCCATCACTATATCATATAGAAATATTTCGTTTAAGGATATCTTATTGGAAACGTTTTGTAGATAATTTATTAAGGATCAAATTCATCTCCCTAACACAATTAGTCACTCTTGGGTGAGGGGAGAATGACCACGCGACTCTACCCCCTAAAAAGGTTTGCTTCCATCAACACACACCACCACCCACACATCACACCTCTACATCACACACAAACACTCCCTCCAGCAACCACACCCCAGCAAGGGAATTAAGACAACAAGCGTCAGGAGTGAAGTTCTTATTGTATGTCACATCTGTGTGTGTGACTGTGTGGTAGCGAGTTAAATATCAGCTGTTGAGGAGCGCTTGGCAACACTCATTTTCACTCGATCTCTCTAATTACCCACACCTTTCTGCTTTCTCACTCCAAATTTTAAAATGCTATGTAACGTAATGTTGAAAGTATACAACTTGGTTCATTTACAGGGTATACTTATATTTGTGCTTACCACAATCTCTCTAAATATACTTTAGGTTTCGTGTTTATTCAAAACATCTGCAGGTCATGAGACCCACTAATTCTCCACCCAAGAAAGGGTAACCTGATATTCCATCAGGTCAGTAATATGAGACCGCTAATCCCCCATCCTACCTCCACCTGACATTACATCAGGGCAGGTCAGTTACATGAGACCCACTAATCCCCCACAGCTCCATGGGAGTGGAAAATACCAGTCTTTGCTGTAACACACAGCTTCATTCATGTCCATATCATATAGATTTTTAATTTTTAAATGTATTTAACCAAACTTTTAGATAAACTATTCTGGATTAATATGGTAAAGAAATGAAGTTTCTAACTTAATTAGAGTTGTATTTACGATTCCAGTAGTTTAGACTCAAAGAAAATATCTCCAGCACCCAGAAACATTCTGGGGAAGTGGGCTAGTGTGTGTCTGTGCAAGAGGTATGGTTTAGACACTCGGAAACTTTTCCCAGTAACAGGAAAGGGTTCCATCGATAAGGAATTTTTTGGGGTTTGAGAAAGTTCTTTTGTTACCCGGAAATCTCTGATCCCCAGAAGTGCTCTGCACCAATTGTTCCGGCTAACGGGGATATCACTGTATATACCCGAAATTATGAGTTGGGAAATACTTTATACTTTATGATAATTACATATTTTATTTATTTATTTATTTATTTTAATCACTTTCTGTAAGATTAAGTGTGTATGTAAGTGAACAAAGAAAATTACATATATTTACCCAGAAATTAGGAGTTAAAAAATATCCATAACATACAGGTCATTGGTACGGAATGGTTGGAAATATCCCCGCTCGGCACTCATTTTAAATAATTTGTTCCAGAACATAGCCGTTTTTGGAGTGTTCTGAGTACCGGGACACGGATAAATGGTCCTATACCTGTACATACTGGTAGACAACAGTGAATATCTAAAAAATATGTGCTTTTCATGAGAATGTTGTGAGTAACAAGTTAAAAGGAAAAATAAAACAAATAATACTCACGTTAGTCTTACTGTAAACTGTACATATCTATAATGTAAATTCCGTACAAATCATTACAAACCATCTTCTCAAGGTTCATATAATTATGCATCAGTAATAGATTTCTTAGATGAGCTTTGCTAGTAGGGAAAGGAAGATCTAAATGATCTACAAGGCAAAACTATATAAATAATAAATAACTCTAAGAATAAAAATAATATTCTTGTTACAATAATACAGTTCCTTTAAGTAATCCAGAGATGGTGGTAATCTGTAGGTCCAAAGGGATAAACGGGTATTGATAAAAAAATACATTATGAATATATTCCTAAAATGCAAAGAAAATATCTTCAACGAATGTCCCTTATTTTTTAATTTTCACATCAGAGTTCTTGTAAAATCTTCATGAAGTCTATGCAAGCTGGATGTCAGACTGCAAAAGCAGTCATAAAATGTTACAAAACATTGTTTTGCTTGTTGGCAGCCATATTTATGCAAGCTGAATGCCAAACTGGAAGAACTGTCATCATAAAACATTACTATGTACTAACATATGTTTTATGTTATAAACATACCAACTGAGTAAGAAATTTAAGTTAGGTTACATTTTCTATATTACCATTTAGCTGTCAGGACACTAGGTAACCTATTAATTTCCTACTTTGTTTAAGAAAGAACTGTCATAACAAGTCATATGGACACTGTGGGCACATTCTGAATGGAAAAAGAATTTTATGCATATAAACTGACAAGCAAATTTAAGTACAGTACTTTCCAGCACATTAACCCTCCCCAAATTATATTACAAAAAATTGGACAAGGTCATCACCTCTGGTAAGTCCTTATAGTGAGCAGAAAGTTACAGTGCTGGGCTGTCTCCACTCTTCTAACATGGAAGAGATGGGAAGCAGGTTATAGGGCATCCTCAGTGGCACTAGGATCCAAGTCTTGTTACAAGACAGAATCAGATCACTTAATGTTCCTATTAGTAAATAATAAGGCAAGCAAAGTTTTATCTTTATATAAACTGTACACTAAAAGAAGGGACAAAAGCATAACAGATAGTTAATGCCACTGAGGAATGCAGAAGGCTGTGTATTGTATAGATTCAATGCAAGGGATATGACTTGTAAGTGGAAGGTAGTCACAGCAGCATAAGAAAAAATTCTCCAACAACTGGGACTATGCATTAGATATTTATAGAAATCAATTTCAAGGAAATATGACTAATATTGCACCTTTCTCCTTGGGGAATGATGTGAGCCATTAATGACCAAGTATATCACTTGACAGCAAGCAACTTATTCTGTCTCTCAGATACATACAACTATAATCATATAGTGTAGATAAAGCTCACACTAAGGTCTTTTCTATGGTAATCAAAATGCTTATCCAAGGAAAAGGTGTCTTAAGAAAAATAGACAAAATGCACAGGCAAAGAATAGGGAACTGTAGTACTGTATCATATTATGCATAACAAAATTTGCATTGGTGGATGATCCAGAGACAAAGTATCACTCTGCTCATTCTAAGAATGACATTTGATGTGGATGTAAAATTTGTCTCGGATATATATAATATGTCAACAAACGTAATGTTACCAATACATTAGAAATAGTTTTTCTCCTATGGATCATCCACTTGAAAAAATAAAAAAAGGTTCCAAAGTTGCACACTAGAAAGAACACATTGGGAATGTCACTGTTAACAAGTGATTACAGAGGAGAAGAGAGAAAAAAATATGTTTAAAGACTTTGCTTCACAAGTTGAGCACCATTCAGAAATAGATCAAGAGAAAGAAAGAGAGAAAAGACTTTCTCATCAAACATGTTCAGTTCCTGTACATATATACAATACCTATTTAAAGCTCGGTCACTTCTCCAGTACTTGTGATTACCAATCATCACTGGATCAGTCACAGTCAAGGTTCTCACAATCAAGCATGAACTGCAGCAATTATAAGATGCTATTTACTCTTCACACATTATAAAATTCTGTATAATATAATAATAATAGATCCACAGGTATACTAAGTACAAACTATCACGCATAGGATTCCTTGTTTGAGGCATCATCGAGATCTTCACTGATGGCTGACATGGCTTCGCTACAAGGGGAATTGGGTTGTTCCATTCTGGAATTCATAAAAAAAAGTTATATTAATAAGAAAAAAAAACAGTACATTTATAATATCTTCTACACTTAAAAAAAAATACACAATATAATTCACATAAGATGCAGTTAATTATACATCTTCTGGTCTTTGTAATTGGAGGCTATAAGGTCAAACAAAAAGTTTTGAGCAATTTTAAGATAAATTAAATTCCGGTAATGTACTAATGAATTATCCAATGTATATATTAGAATAAAAACAAGAAAGCGGACACAAAGTTGCCTGAAACATTGAGTCCAAACAATTTATGGACTTAGTGATATTTTGAATAATGCGCATAAAAATTCCATATTCATAATTTATGAGCCACTATCAATGAATGTGAAAAATGAGAGAAAAAAATCAAAATTACAGGTACTCCCCAATGAATGAAAGGGATTCATTCTTGAAAAAACTTTCATAAATAATTTTTTTTGTAAATCAAAGTATGTCACATCTTGAGACCTTCATTTCTTTAAACAAAGGCAAATGTTTAAATGAATAAAAATAACTGATTTGCATCACTGATGCAAATAGTGCTACTCAATGATTTGATGCAATTTGTGTCATGATGCATTCTCGAAGGTTAACACAGTGGTCCCGGATAACCGGAGTTCCACTGTACATACATACATGTTGATCTTTTCTGGTACCTACTATCATACTACATAAAAAATTTTCATTTATCCACTTCATTAGATATTTAAGACTTCTCAAATATTTCTTCCCTCTTCATTAGTAAACTATTTAGGAGACCTACCATTCATATCACAGTACAGTATTCTTATGTTAGTGATATTTTAAATCAACATTATATTTTTGTATAACATAAAATCCTTCACCGTCAGGACTCAGAGACTACTGGATGTGAATTTAATTTTTTTTGAGTAAGAGCATTTCCCCAGTGCTTCCCTAAATCTCCTTGAAATAATTAGGTATTCATATACTGTATACATTATTGATGTTACTCTGTCCAATGCTTCTTTCACTTGCACATCTTGTTTTTTATTTCTTAATTTTTAAATCATATTTACTCCATATATTGGTTTTAAGCTTCACACCCATTTTATAATAGTAACTCAATAATTCCTCTGTATACCCCATCTCTCCCTTGTTTAACATGGTCCTCCCTCCAAGTTTCTTAAATTAATGTTCATTTCATCATTCACTGTTTCATTTACAGAAACATCCATTCCAAGATATCTAAAATGTTCTCCATCCCCTGCTCTATCTCTATTCAAGCTAACCCTTACTTCAGTTTCCCTTTTCTACTTTCATTCATTACTGTACCCTATTCAAGCTGTTTGTACTACAATTCTTAATAACTACCACCATATACTTTCCCTGGTAATGTTCAGTACAGTTTACTCAACAGACTTCATCATCATCACTATTTTACATCCATTTTTCAAAACAGCCATGATTACCCGATGGCAGTTCTCCAAGCTGCATGACATCTTGTAGACTCTCATTACCGATGTTTCTGAGGTAATTTCTCACTTCTGGCCATTTCATTCTTAGTCTATTCCCAAGCTTTCCTTCCCTCTACATTTAAAGTCATGAATCTCTTGATCCAAATTGTCTCCTCCAATTTTTCTAAATACCAGAACCATTTCATCATACTGCTATGCAAAACTTTACCCATACCCACAGTCCCCAACCATACTCTTACCTCTGAACAGTGTTTCCTGTCTATCAAAGTCATATTACAAGTCATCTCATTCCCATTCATTTAAGTCTACATATGATATCATCTTTGACTACCAATGTTTCACTGCTGCATAACAACACACTATATATGCTAGCTATATACACCTTTCCCTTTTCAAAAAGAGATGTTTCTCTTGTAAATAAAGGCATCAACTTCCTAACTCTCAGGGTTCTGTTGCCTCATGGTGGCTGGCTGCTCAGATTCCGCACTCCCACAGCCTCCCTCACACACTACATCCGTATGCATCAGATACCTCTACGTTTTTTGTCATAGCACGATTACTATTTGGGATAGAAATATGGGGTTTGTACCATGAGAATTTGAAATAAATTATCTATAAATAGTGTTTGACAGGTGATCATTATAAAAATTTTCATTTATAAACACATGTTGAAGAAAAAAAGCCGTTTTTTTTTCTTCTAAAAACCAGTTTTTGTGATATAGCTCGAATGCGACGTCAGCAAATGCTACCTATGTATGTTAATTCCTAGCCAATTCGCAAGGCCAACATACAGGCAATTAAAACATCTAATAATTACTTAATAAGTAATATTAGGAGGACACGTCGACACCCATTTTAGATTTTCTATGTATTATTTAAGCATTTTCAACTATCTACCATTTCGACCTGGATTTGGGTCCCTAACCCCGTCGTAAGTCGGAGAGGAGCTGTATATGACATTATACTGTACCAGCATTATTATATGTGCTAAGAACATGAAATTTGTTCCTTGGTAATCCTTACATGTTTTTTGACATGGCAACATTGATGGCTGTAGTGGTGAGTGCACATAGGCAAGGAAGATACCAGACATACATTTAAATGATGAAGCCATCTACCTCTGCTACCTTAACATTCTTGAGTTTATATACAGCCAGTCTTGCATGCTCACCCCATTACTACTATTTCCTCTTTTGCTTTGAACACTATTCAGTCCATCACATCCTAGGATACCTTTACTTTTCTTATTTATTACACCTAAGTTGTTTGAAATATTGTCCCCCCATATCTTTTACATTTTTTATTTTTCATGAAATCCATTAAGTCCCTCATTGTTAACTTTTGAGTTCCTCATCCTAGTTTCTTCTAAAACAACTTCTTGTTTTTTACAGAACCTTGTGACAACCTTTCCCCCCAACTTATGTATGCTTTCACAATTCTATCGTTCTAGGCTTGCTATTATTTTTTTTCATTACCTTTGTAACTTTCACTCATATACCCTTCACGTTTCGTTAATAAGTACTGTACACCCACTCCTCGTTTTACACACATTTGATTTAAGAGTCTTTGGAATAACACGTTTGTTCAATTAATACCAGTTCCTAATATACACGCAATTATTTTTTAAATAACGCTGTTTAAATTTGCTGCGTACAGCGTATTCTTTTTTAAATTAGCCGCGTATTTGTCTGGAAGCGGAGACTCGTGTAATGTCCGGTGAGGTGCTTGTTAGTATTACAGTAAAGTCACAGTCATATCAATATCAATGATTTTAATATTATTATTAATAATAATAATAATAATAATATAATCAATATTATAATAATGTAATAATAAAGATTACTACTACTAATGATGATAATGAAGTATACAGTACTGTACAACTGTGATGGCATCCAGTTGTTTAGTGTTTACAGCAGTATACAGTACTGTACAACTGTGATGGCATCCAGTTGTTTAGTGTTTACAGCAAGCTTCCTGCTTACCACTTTCTCAGTTTGTTTCAGCACTACTTGTTTGTGTGTTTATCACGTATCTTTCAGTGTTAAACACTGTTTTTCCCATCGAGCATGTCTGGAAAACGTCCATCTGCTTCCTCTGGTGAGCCTAAAGCATGAAAAACAAGTGCAATGGACGTCAAGCTAGATGTGATCACTCACCCGTACCCTTGCCTCAGTAGTCTCCCTCCTCAACCCCACCTTTGTCAAGCAGAAATCGCCAGTTATCAATGTAAGTGTTATTTAAGATGTATTTACCATTGTTTTTCTTTATTAACTAGTTTTTCTTTATAAGGTAAAAGAATATTTATTGTGAGTTACCCTGTACGGTAGTATATGATGGTTCCCCTAACCTGTACCATATACATGTACAGTATTCTTTTGGGAAAAATAGGTTTAATTTACATGTTTTTGATTTAAGTGGTGATTTTCAAGAACATAACTCCTATGTAAATCGAGAGGTGGGTGTACTGCCAACCTTGCATCCCACCATTCGTTTACTTGTTTCCCCCTACTTCTTATACTGACACACTTATCTGCACTTTCGAAGACTGCCACTTCCCCTTTACCTTCATTTGCATATGCCAATCTCATCTCGATTATTTCCTTAAAAATTTGCAGCTACATTCTCTTTACTCAGCTCAATGGTATTTTTAACCCCATTTCCTCAAATCTCTTTAAATGAAGCTTCCATTCATATTAATTTTGCTATTACCCGCTCAGACAGTCCATTTATTTCCATCATCATCAATGATTTACAGACATTTTCCTTGATTACATGGCTTTACCATGATGACCTGATGGTAGCTCCCCATGTCAATCTTGGCCTGCCCCTGGCTCTCCATGTTTAGGCTGATGCATCCACTGGCCCAATTAGTCACATCCATTCCCTCCACATGTCCAAACCATCTCAGCCTGCCTCTATGCACAACTTTACCAAAACTTTCAATACTCAGCTGCCCTCTTAGCTCTGAACAGGGCCTCCTGTCTTTCAGTGTCATAATCTACATCTACCTCATTATTCTCAATTCAGCTCGCTCAAGCCTCCTTGTGTCATCCTCTTTAACTGCCCACATTACACTGCTAAACAACATCACACTTCTCGCACCAACCATACATTCTTCCCTTCAAGTTGAAGGAAAGGTCCTCTTGCCTCAATAAAGGCAGCAGCTCCCTAAACTTCCTCCAGCCACTTTTGACTCTTACAACTGAGCAGGTTTCAGCATCCCCATTAGAACTGATCATGCAACCCAAGTAACAGACATAACCCCAATGCTGAGTTTCTCTAGCCTTGCTGTGGGTACATGGTTACCTGCTCATACAAAACACTTAAAAGTCAGCAACACCCTGCAGTCTGCCATCTACTCCACTGCACCTCTTGTGTACCCACCTTCAACACTTCTTGCATATTACCGAGTTGCTGCCAATGCCTTTCTTACAGACAAAACATGACTGCTTTTCACTTTCCACCAAGGATCTCTCAACCACACTACTAATCAATATTTTTGTTTTTGCCACATTCACTCTCTGGCCCTTTGACTCTATTCCATCATTAAGTTCTTAAATTTCTCCATTGCCTCTTCTATACTATCTACTATGAGTACTCATATCGTGCCATAACCACTCGAACAAGACACACCTCAACTTCTAGCTTTCTCATTGCTCACCTCACTACTTCACATGGTACCCTGTTAAATAACTTCTCGAAATTTACATATACGTACTGTAAGAAGTAAAAAAAAATTTCTCCTTCCTTAAATATTTTTCTTTGTAACTGCCTGGTCATAAATACTGTCTCTGTAGTCCTCCTACCTGGCATAAATCTATTCTCTCCCATATTAATTTTTCAATCACTTTTTCATCAACTTTCTTAACTTGATGTATCAGGTTCCTGCATTTAAGTGCACCACCTTCACCCATTATTCCAGTGTATTAGAGGTTTAAATGCCAGTTTTAGACAAGTTGAGACTACAAGTTATTTACCTGTAGAGGAAGAATCTGTCTCCTTAAGCACTACAGTACAGTATATCTATTTCTCAATTCTTGTCTTCTTGGGTTTCCTTTCAATTAGTCCTTTTTTGCCATACTGCAACCTAGCTACAACTACTATTTTATGTGATGACCTTCTTTAACCTGTGACAGTATATTTATAATGCAAGTGATAACAAAGGCAGACACTTAAAAAACACCCAAACACTTGCCATGTCTTCTGCCATGTATGATAGTGTACTGTAATATCTTTACATATTTGAACACTAAATGCAAGTGGTTATATCTCGTTTTATGAGCATTTTCTATGAAAGAATTTAAAGACCCTTCTTTTCAATCTTATTATTGTAGATTAATTATTTAAAGAGATATGAACAAGCTACATTTCAAAGGAAACAAGTGACTGCATATTACTTCTCAAGAAAGTGGTTCACAGCATCAGAATGCAAGCAGCTTGACATATCATTCTTGACTGAGTGTAACTACTGTACTAGTTATCCAAAAACTGCTTTGCTTCTTATCAGAATGTTAATTGCAACCAAAATTGTGAATAATTTTTTTTAAATTTCTAATTTTTAATAGTACAGAACCTTCCATGAGACCAAGTCTTATAAAACCTTGGTGGGAACTGGAATTTTATGTCTTCATTTAAAACTTGTCAGTTTCCTTTAAATACATGTACAGGTGGACCAGTTACAGACAAACAGTAGGGCCCATGTCCAGCATGTGTCAGAACACACTTTTCTCATTCTTCAATAATTTTTCAATGAAATGATCTTCTCAAATGTCAATCTCAATACTGTATTTGTTTAAATTGTTCTTCACATTCAACAGGTGCTATATTTGCACAAGATAGTTGACACAAATCTTGTTCTGCTCCTTAAAGCCCTTCTTCAAATTCAGGAGGGGGTTTTGAGAATTGCAATTAAATGCCAGGTAGAGACGTGTCCTCCTAATATTACGTATTTAAGTAATTATTAGATGATTTAATTACCTGTATGTTGGCCTGGCGAGTTAATGCTAGGCATATACATACCTAGGTATAAAGCTAGACGTTGCACTCTGAACTGCAGTATATCACAAAAACTGGTTTTTTTTAGAAGAAAAAATGCCTTTTTTTTTTTACTGGAAAACAGAATTCTGAATAGCGATTGACCAGTAGCTTCAATATTAGAAAATGTATCATCCGAGACAAGAGAGTTGAAGAGAACGGGATAATATTAATTGTGGCTGTGAAATACATTATGCAAAAAAGAACCTTTTTCTGATGGACTCATCACTACCGGTATACATACAGATCAACAATCTGTTTCCTGACTCACCCACAGGACAGAGGAAGGGTGGGGGTTAATTGTGATTTAATAACTCGATTCTGGCCACACTGGCTCTTGGCAGGATTGGTCTTGAACACCTCAATTCTTTTCAATCTCAACTATTGTACATTCCATTTCATCTAACCACCAATAAAATAAAATCTCCACTACACAACTATATCCCTCAAATTCTTTCAATTTGTCTTCTTCATTGTATGGAAAATGTGTGCAGAACGTAATCCTTAAATTTACTTTTCAACGACTGCCTAATATTTACAGAAAAATCTCTAATCACCCTTTTATAATTACTACTTTCTTAGTCACCAGACTATCTCTTGGTAATAATTTACATCAATAATCTGCATTTATATAAAATTGCCAGAGTATTTTCACTTTTTTAACAAGATCAAACCATGTTTACAAATGTTTCAAACAATTTCTCTTAGACTTTTCCTATTTACTGTCTGCTTCTATACAGTACAATGATGTCTCCGTTAGCCGGAACAATTGGTGCAAAGCACTTCCGGGAGTGCGCCCCTCGGAAAATCATTCCCAAAGCTAGAATTTTCCGGAAAATTCTGACTATGGGAACGATTTTCCATGAAAATTTCAATTCCAGCTATCGGAGAGTTCTGGGCTTGAGGGATTCCAGCTAACGGAGATATTATTTATATATTTTAGGTTTATATATGCCTTACCTTTTGCCAACATTCCCAATTTTTCCTTTAATTATTTGTGAGAGTTTTACTCGCCAGTATATTTTTTATGATTAGTAAATAAATTTAACACAAATTAACTGTTATTTCACTTCAATGCATTTTTGCTATAAACACTATTAATAATAAAAGCAAGGTGGCACATGAGAAGTATTCGTGAAATATTTTCCTCATTGACCATAACTACAGAGTCAAGTACTACCTAAGATATACCAAGTTCTTATATCACTGAAGAATTATGCTGAATGGTACGGCTACTGCAGGAGTATGGTAAGACTGTTGCCACCTGCTTTAATTATTCATAAAAAATGCAAAATAATATGATATGAGCATTACCTTATCAAGTGCAATTAAAGTAGGGAAAAATATTAAATACATAAGGGTAAAACCAAGGGAAATAATAAAAATAAACTGGTAAAAAATAACAACTTTTACATGATAGAATGAACTGTAAGAATGTGTAGGAGACCAGTGGTGCCATATTAATGTGTAGACCAGTGGTGCCATATTAATGTGTAGACCAGTGGTGTCATATTAATGTGTAGACCAGTGGTGCCATATTAATGTGTAGTCCAGTGGTGCCATATTAATGTGTAGACCAGTGGTGCCATATTAATGTGTAGACCAGTGGTGCCATATTAATGTGTAGACCAGTGGTGCAGCATGAATGAGTAGGTGACCAGTGGTGCCATAGGAATGTATAGGAGACAAGTGGTGCCATATTAATATGTAGGAGACCAGTGGTGCAGCATGAATGAGTAGGTGACCAGTGGTGCCATATGAATGTGTAGGAGACCAGTGGTGCAGCATGAATGAGTAGGAGACCAGTGGTGCCATATTAATGTGTAGACCAGTGGTGCCATATGAATGTGTAGGAGACCAGTGGTGCCATGTGAATGTGTAGGAGACCAGTGGTGCCATATTAATGTGTAGAAGACTAGTGGTGCCATATTAACGTGTAGGAGACCAGTGGTGCAGCATGAATGTGTAGGTGACCAGTGGTGCCATATGAATGTGTAGGAGACCAGTGGTGCTATATGAATGTGTAGGAGACCAGTGGTGCTATATGAATGTGTAGGAGACCAGTGGTGCAGCATGTATGTGTAGGTGACCAGTGGTACCATATGAATGTGTAGGAGACCAATGGTGCAGCATCGATGTGTAGGTGGCCAGTGGTGCCATATGAATGTGTAAGAGACCAGTGGTGCCATATGAATGTGTAGGTGACCAGTGGTGCAGCATGAATGTGTAGGAAGCATTACTAGCAGGAGGCAGGACACTTCCTTACTCTGTATTATAACAGTTTCCATGTTGACTGAATTCATGATAAGTTTAACTAATCAATTATCTAAAATTTGATTGTTGATCTTGTACTTTGCTTTTTTTTAAATGTCATTACTCTTTGTAATTCAACATGATCCTGAAATAAAAAATGGAAACAAATGTTAAGGAGTACTTTTTCATCAAAGAATGCAGCCTATAATGCAGCATACTGTAACTTACTGATCTGATATGGGAGCCTGATACAAACACTCAGTTTTAATTTAAAAAAATCATATATACATGAAAAATGCAAAAACTAGTACAGAGGAACAGATAGTGAGAGATTTATAATGTAACTCAAAAGAAGGAAATTATACACAAATGTTAAGAAGGACATGTCTTTTCATAACAGCATTAAGCAAATTAAAAGTGCAAAAAAGCATTAGGTTTGCAAAGTGTGATAGCAAATTGCATTACAGCACACTATAGCAGTTGTCCTTATAATAATATTAATCTATCAATACATTACAAATAGATTGATAACAACCTTTACTTTTCAATGATGAAACTGCTATTGGGTGCTAATAATTGCAAATATTTACAGTCATAATTAATGCAGCATCACAAGTTATTCATTTAACACGCGCCAACAATTACCTGTCAAGCTGCTGCACTTCAGAGGGAGGAGTGCGAAGCGTAGAATTGGAGGAGGACCTCTGATGCCTCAAGGACGCAGTCAGATATGAGCTCAAGCTGCCGTCGCTGTCGCTGTCACTAGAAACAGATAAGTATGGTCCAGGAAGGTACACACACACAAAAGCCCAAGCCCGGCACCAGACATAAGCCGCATGGCACGGAGGCACACAAGCTTTGTTAATTCACGCAAAAGCTACTCACTCTATAACCAGCCAAGGTAAACTGTGAAGTAGATGTAAATGAGTTGGAGAGCATCTTGGCTGGGAACAGGTGATGTAAAAGTGGTGTTTCTGTACTGAATTTTATGCTATCATTATATTGACATTACAAGCAGTTCTGTACAGTAGTAATAATTAGTTATATCCTTTTTACTCTTCATACATTGTAAATCATTCTTATTACATGCTACAAATTATGTATATATGCATGTGACTTGGAATGTAGTTAGACTGCAAGCTTTTGCAATATTATGACCATGGTAATCAGTTAATATATGACATGCAAGACATACATGGGCAGAAAGTTAGACATAGAGAGAGATAAGGGCAAGAATCATTATTAATAGGTTTTGAGGTAAAGACAATTGACTGCCCACAAGTACAAGGATTTAGGATTCAATTTTAGTTGAGTCTAGCTTCTATGGTGACGAAAAAGTCGCTGAGTAGAGACTTGAAGTCAAGTATCTGCGTAGAGAAGAGGCCATGACCCACACGATAGGAGTCATAGCCAGGCAGAGCCTACACAGTTGGCAATCTAGTTACCTGTCAGATATGTCGGAGTCCGAGTCATTAATGTCACCCTGGATAGCCTGCTGGAGATCTTCAATTCTCTTGAAAGCAAGTTTAAGGTCACTCTTGAGAGTAATCACTTCAGAATCTGCAAGTTCAAGTTGTTTTTCAAGCTCTCCTTTTTTGTTAAATACATCTGTGTGCTTTTGCTGCAGGGCTGACAAGTCCTCTTTGGCCTCACGCAATTGACGACCAATCTTCTTGCTCTGTTCCAAAGCCTGTGACTCCTTCTGATGAGCTGAATCACATTCACTTGATATTCGCTCAATTTGGTCTTTCAACCTACCAATCTGACTCTGTAAACCAAATAACAGAATTAATGACATACTGGTAACTACAGTGCTGTATATTTATGATATTTATTAACTTAATTTTGCAAAAACACAGGGCCCCCAAATTCATAGATTTTTTATTCTGCGATTCTCTATTTTTTGCAGATGACACCCTGGATGTACCCAAGAATGTCAGTGGGTAGTTTTAAAGTTGCCGGCATTTTCAAGGCTGAGACAGGGAGTCATTCATTTTAGAGACAGTAATTTCCTATACCTCTAGTGTAAATATATATGTGTGTGTGTGTGTGTGTGTAGACACACATACACAAATAAATAATAATTGGAAAATCCTCTCACAAATAATCAGGAACAATTTTATTAAAAATGTGAGTCACATTTTTAATAAATTTGTTTCTGATTATTTGTGAGAGGATTTTCCCATTATTATTTATTTGTGTGTGTGTGTGTCTACACACACACACACACACACACATATATACTGTATACAGTATATACAATACAACTACACATAAAAGAAATAATTGTCCTAAGGGCAAACTTATAAACAGAATACAAATTTCTTTGTCCACAAGTAAATGTACCCCCCAAATATTATTCACGGATTTGGCGATTTGCAATTTTGAGAACCAAATCCCCACAAATTTGCCCCTGTAATTAGTACATCGGTGAAAAAAAAAAAAAAAAAAAACTGGGGAATGAAAATTATCGAGTCATGAAACTGAAATATTTAGTAATAAAAATTTTAAAACCTGAAATTATACTTCATACTATAATGTACTGTATACAGTACAACATTTAAAAATGCATTCACAAACTCACTCTCTCCCTTGAAGGGGACATGTGATGTTGACCAGATTTGTCATTATGATGTCGAGTGTGTTGTAGTTCTATTAGGATGCTAGGATTTTTTATTTTTTTTTTCAGTGACATATGAGTGTCCGACTGGCCGGGAACCTCTCCCACTGAACCCTATGCTATAATGAACCCAATTTAAGATATTTTGATTTACAATTGGGTTTTCAGGAACCTAACCCCATCACAAATAGAGGTTTATCTGTGTATCAATTTTATTGTTTATCATAGCAATTTCAAATTTGTTAAAATTAGCCTAACCTAATGCTCTATAAATTGTTTAACTCTAAACCACATCATTTATGTGTATGTACAGTAGTTGGTAGTAAGCAGCTATCGAACAGGGAAGTACTACCATCTGGGAAGATATTGAAAGCATAATGTATTGTCTAGTGGTAGACCCTGCTGCCATATGGCACCAAAAAAATTGTGACCAGGTCCCAAGTTGCTGATCTGACTTTCTGCCTCATTTACACACAATTGCAGGGTTTCAATTATTTCTCTTACTTGACAACACAACATACAATACAGATATCGTTTCTCACTATTGATCATTTTTTGGGGGGAGGGGGGGTATTTATTTATGGGCCTTTATTAGAATTATTACTTTTATTATTATTATTATACTGTACAGTATTCATATTTTAATTTAATATTTTTATTTATTTATTATTAACTATTATTATTATTATTATTATTATTATTATATTTTTGCCCCCCAGGCCCTGGATGTGGGTCATTGACCTGTGCCCTGGTGGAATAAGTGTTTAAGCACTATCCAATAAATATGGCAGCTCATCCCCGTAGCGAGTGGTATTCAAACTTATGATTCTATCCAGTGGCGGCTCGTGAAAAAAAAAATGGAGGGACTGCAAGCCTCACACCGAGTCCCCACCAAACAATAAGCATGGAATTTCAGAACAGTACAAGCAGGAACAAAGAATATACACGCCAGTTTAACATCAGTGTTTATCAGAAATGTGAATGGCTCTGTGGTTGTGACGAGGCAAATACTTTATTCTGCTTTCCATGCTTATTGTTTGGTGGGGACTCGGTGTGAGGCTTGCAATCCCTCCATTTTTTTTTTTCACGAGCTGCCACTGATTCTATCTGATTTTGAGGAATTATTATTATTATTAATATTATTATTATTTACTTTTGGTGCCAGTTGGTTGAATCTGCTGATTGCCTGGACTCTGGATAACCAGCAATCTGCTGTATTAAGGTCAATCTTTGATCCTGGTTATTGAAAAGAAGTATTTAACTAAGAAGGTGAGAAACCAAAAGAAAAAGGGATAGGGATATGGTGTAAAAGACAGGGCTAAGAGAATTGTAGCGATGTCCCCTTAGCCGGAATAATTGGTGCAGAGTGGTTCTAGGATCAAGATATTTCTGGGTATGCAGAAAAAAATTTCACCCTGAAAAAAATCACACACCCCAGAATTTTTTAGGGTATTGAGGTAAGTTTTCCTTGTTTAAACAACTGTAGGCATCGCACATGGAAAAACACTCTCCCATTACTGATAGGCTCCGGTCACGAGCAAAAATATATACAGCTAGCAAAGAAGTGTGTATATAAATATATAGTAAATCAATTGTTGAACTTCAAAAACGTTTATTAAGAGATACATTAAGAGATAGTCTCACAAACAAAGGCAGATGTGGTGGAGCCATATCTTCTACAAAATGCATAATAGGGAATCTTTTCCACATACAATGAATTGTGGGTAGAAATAGGGTCGCCGCATAAATGCGAATTTACAGTAAATAAAAGCCAAATGAAAGTTGAACACAGTTGCCATTTATATACACTCCCTGCTTCACCATAGTAACAAAGACCAGCTGAGACGCCAATTCCCTAGCAATGCTTCCCCCAACCCCTACACTCTCCTCCCATTACGTGTTTGCCCTTAGGACAATTATTTCTTTCCCCTTTTTCACAACATGTATGTAGGATAGTGTGTGCATGTAACTGAGGAAAATAAATGAAGTTACATTTATCGACCCGAAATACAAGATGAAAAACAACCATAACACCTCACAGCTTGGCCCAGCAGACGACATGGACTGGGTCCATTTTAGGAACGACATGAGGACTGAGAGAGAGAGAGACCGGGTAGGAATTTGCCACATCCAGAGGTCAGTCTAGACCAATCAAAATCGGATGTGAGAGGTCCAGAAGTGAGAGTTGAGAGGGTTTACTTTAGTCTGAGATATATCAACTAATCATAGGTATCCCATGCAGTCATATGACAGTAGTACCCAATCGTAGCTCACGAGCACTCAGCCTACCCCCTAAAGTGCCAGGCATGTGTCCCTGCATTGGAAACATGATGCAATCTCTCAAAAATTCATTCCCTTCATTTCCATGCCAGGAATGGAGAGATTACTGTAATTTGAGATGATTTAGTCATGTAGAAGGAATGGTGGCTGATACAATAGCAAAAAGAACGTGTAAGAGAAAGGTAAAGGAAGCAAAAGCGATGGGAAGATATCTATTGTCTTAGATGAAGGAAGTACTGTACACTAATGGGAATGAAGCAGGCTAGAGAATCATACTGAGAATGGGAAACTTGGAGAATTTATTACTGTATTGTGGCAACCTCTTCAATATGAATTACCTTGGGGAACAAGAAATCACTAATAAAAAAAAGGCAAAAAGATCAAATGTAGAGATAAACAAGGCAGGTACTATACAGTCAACCCTCGTTAATTCGGGCTAATAGGGGGGGAAGGGTGTCCGTTTTAGCCGATTGTCCGAATTAACCGATTTAGGGGTTAATATTGCATTATATTTCAGTCATTGTTTTCGTCACGATTTGATCCCACTTTCCACTGTAATACATACGTAATTTCAGCAAAAATATTACATTTCCGTGAATGTATTATATCAAGCACAGTATGAATAGAATACCATTGTAATATAACAGTATTTTAACCGAAAACTACTAAAAAAACGAGTAACATCTCAAGAACATCGGAAGCTTAGGTAAAGTCTTTTGTTTTCGTCATGTATTTTATCCTATTTTACATTGAGATACATCACGTTTCAGCAAAACTACTATTTATTTCCAAGAACATATTCATTCAGGCGCAGTTTGGGTAAAATATAAGTGATGTAACAGTTTTTTAACTGAAAACGATTCGAAAAACACGTACCCTCTAGCCCTGTTCAAGGAGAGGACTGGGAGAGGTTGTTTGGTGCTGCAGACGATGACAAGGAAAATGATTTGGATGGATTTTAATGAAAATATTCAGAAATATGGTATCGTAGTATTTAATCAAGTCAATTAGGATAGGATATTAATGTAATACAACAGTTTTTTAACTGAAAACCAATCGAAAAGCGATTACGGTAACATCTTTTGAACGAAAGAAAGCGAAAGTCATTGTTTTCGTCACGATTTTATCCCACTTTCCACTAATACCTACGTCATTTCAGAAAAAATATTACATTTCCGTGAATGCATTATATCAAGCACAGTATGAATAGAATACCATTGTAATATAACAGTATTTTAACCAAAAACTATTAAAAAAACGAGTAACTCCTCTAGAACATCGGAAGGTTAGGTAAAGTCTTTTGTTTTCGTCATGTATTTTATCCTATTTTACATTAAAATACATCACGTTTCAGCAAAACTACTATTTATTTCCGAGAATATATTCATTCAGGCACAGTTAAGGTAAAATATACATGTGATGTCACAGTTTTTTAACTGAAAACGATTCGAAAAACACGTGTACGGTGTAGCTGATACTCAACAGCTGGTGGTGCGTCATGTGTCGTTGTAAACAATAGGAGGTTGAAGTAGATTACCGGGTATTATATTAAGTGTGAAATATCGAAAAGGTTTTTATTACCGGTATTTTTTGTAGATCAATGAGAACTGTGATACCGTATATGATATGATAAGTTAGCCTGTGCTAAGAACTTCAACATAGACTACTGAAAACACGTTGTAAGGTAATTTAGCCTATTGTAAGTTGGTGAGCTTCATTTGCTGAAGGAACTGCACAACTTTTCATTACTAATTGGTACAAATTTTACGTTTCCATTGTTTACTGGCAGTAAATGGTAAATATTTTTCATGTCTGAAGCTAAAAGTTGCATCCCCCCCCCACACTAGTGGTGGAGATGTTACATTTGACCAAAAAGACACTGGTGTTTATCCCTGCAGTGGGTGGATCAGCATTTTAGCTTAAGGTCCGCGGAGGTAATATTCCTACAAATCTTAAAAAAAAAAATTCATTCAGATTTTGTCCGAATTATCCGAAATCCGGATTAAAGGGGTCCGAATTAACGAGGGTCGACTGTATAAGTAAAATTTTAAGACCACACAAATATTCCACATAACTTTAAGAGGAAAACTAAATTTTTAAATTCGGACAAATTATTCCGGGATCTTCTCAAATAGACTGTACTGTACATACCTCTAATCTCTGCCTGGTGGTTTGTTCCAACTCCAATTTAGATTCTATTTCTTTAATTTTCATCTCAAGGCGGCGCTGAGTGTGGATATTGGCAGTCTCTCCTTCTAGCACCTCCACCTTACTGGTCAATTCTAACATCCGCTCTTGGAGGACCTATTAGTTGCAAATGATGAAAATAACATTATTGTACAACTACTGCATATGAAGTGAAACCATTACTAAATATGGATAAATTCAAAACCCCCAAATTTTTAAGCTATTATAGCCCAGTTATATATCTTTAAGTCCCTCACTGAAATGTAATTAAATAATTTTCTTTACAAGTTGTTTTGTAGCTCCCCCAAATGTTTACTGCTAGCCTCCAATTCAGTACTGTACAGGTATATAACTTTAACTTAATTTTACATATTCCTAGAAGTTACATGTACTTCAACCACTGAAGATATCTGAAGATATAAAAGAGATATGACCATATGAATTCTTTTTACCACTAATTTCTAATCCCTATTTCTGTTGATTGGAGAAGACAGAAAAATTACTAATTCTTAATAACAATCACACCTTCTTAACTAAAGCCTTAATTGAATATTATCTCTACCTTTGGTAACTATTGTACATACAACAAAGTAATAATTCATAAATAGTTATGTACAGTACCTGTTTTTCATGCTCCAGTTCAGCAATTTGTTGTGACTGCTCTGATAAGGTGATTTGGTCAACAGACAGCTGTGACACCACTGACTTGTACTTCTTCATCACTTCAGCCACTTCCTCTTCACTTTCTTCCAGCTGTAAAAAACGTTTGTATTAATACTGTACAGAAAACACCAAATTTATTTTTCTATATATACTGGAATTATTCCACAAATCAAATCTTTACGTATACTGTACATAAAATTAAACTTCAAGTAATTGAGTTCACAATATCACCTGTGTTTGTACTTCAGCTCTATCCTTGGAAATTCTGGCACATCTGTCTTCAGACTCCTTCTTGGCCCGTTGTGCTTCTTCCAGTTGGATGGACAGTTCAGAAATATCTGCATCAGCACACTGTCTGGCCTTAAGAGCTGCAGTCTTTGCAAACTCTGCATCTTCCAGCTGTAAGACAATGGTGCAACCTTAAATGACAGTGCACATTTCCTTGGGTTTATACTATGAGCTTGTATGATAATTATTTTTCTGAGAGTAGCAGCTAAAATCAAACTTGTTACAGTGGATATCCTCAAGACAGTAAATATGGAACTTACACCAGACCATTTTCCTAACTAATTGTTCATAAAGGCTTCCATAGTTGAGCAGGTACAGTGAACAGTTAAATATAAGTTGACAAAAGGCACAATGAGTCGTGTAAAATAGATTACTGTACAGGAAAAATAAGTTCAAAACAAGGTGAAATCAGGTTGAAGTTGCAGTACACATAGGTGAAAGGACTTGTTCAAGGTCAGGAATAGTACTTGGAGAGGACGGCAATTGCCATTGCACTAGATAGTGTGAAATTGTATACTGTAGTTAATATACTAGCATATAATTTTTTTTAACAGGAAAAGGTATTTGACATGGCAGATTGATGGAGTATGTGTCAACAGCACAAAACAGTTTTTCTCTCCCGTTCAAGAAATTTCTTGCTATGGTGCAGTGACTGGAGTCAAGAAAAATCTATATAATTATTACATAGGTTTTCTGCTACAGTGTTCACCTTCAACAAAAAGGCTCCAAGAACACCAAATTGCTTATCCCTGAAGTTTCACACATCCTAGCATCACTAACGAGCAGCCTGTCCACCTGTGTAAAAAACACTGAATAGGGATGGATCTGTTGGTGATGGGAAATTCAAGAGAACATACAACAGTATGGCAACAAATTAAAAGTTTACCAAATGTGAGATAACAGATGTTGTGAATTATCCTGAAAACATAAAAGCGGAATACTGTATTCCAATTAATATTATGCATGAACACACATATACAGCATCATTACTAACAGAAATCAAGTGACTGACACATTTCACAAGGGGAGTAGCTGAAAACATAAAAGGTGCACTAATGAGATGAGAAGGTAATGTGAAGACAAATGATATTGGAAGAAAGCCATCAGTTGCATTGTTCTATTTTGTGAACAAATGAGAAAGGCAATTTAGGAAGAAAATTTTTCTTGTTCAATAATTCCTCTGTAACTCTTTACTTGTTTACTGGACACTTTCATGTTTCCCATAAAAGACGACTGAGCTGAGAGTTACAGTACCTGTGTTTTTAGCTGTCTGACTAAGAGTTTATGGCCACCCTCAGACTGAGACTTCTCCAACATAGTCTGAGTGTCACGCAAGAGTGCCTTGGTCTTCTTCAACTCCTTCTTCAGTTTATGTATGTAATCTTCATCAACATGAGTAATTGTTCGGTCTTGTAGCTCTGTTATACGCCTCTCCAGCTCATGCTTCTCACGTACGAGTAGAGTCCTCTCTTCATGCTCATTTTCAAGCTGTGCTTCCAAAGCTGTTGATCAGTTACAAAGGTGATACTCAATGAGGTAAATTTATTTAAAATTAGCAGTGATATTAATATTAAGGAAATTTTAATTTCAAGAAACTCTTCATCTATCACTATTGATTATCATGTACCTGTATAGTACTGAGTACTGTATACAGTATATAGAAATGCTAACATGTCCCATTTTACATTCAACATATCATATCCCTTGAAACAACTATATAAGAGCTGATCACAATTCAATTATTCAGGAGTCCTAATAAAATTCTTGAGAAAAAATGCAGAAAGCAAGATATGAATACAACAATATATAAATTAATAAATAAATAAATATGCCTTACCTTTAACCTTCTTCTGGGCTGAAATTCTGACTTCCTCGAGCTCTTCCTCACGCTGTGATACTTCTCGTCGATTTTCTTTCCTCATTTGTTCTATACTCATTTCCAGACGCACTTTAGCTCCTTCCAACATCTGAACTTGCCCTGCCAAGTCATCTAGCTCTTCCTCCTGAGAAAATTAAGCAAGAAATTCTGAGCCAAAACCTATCTCCAGTAAAGCTTCCAAACTTGATACATAAATAAAAACGTGCTTGATGCATCCGTCCTCCCTTCTATGTGCTGTACGGTGGACATAATAATACTGATATACTGTACAATACTATCACTCATTGGTCATATTAAACTTACAGAGTTGAGTTTCATGTTCTTCATGACTTAAACCTTTATATAAAAAATGAAAACATGAGGTTGGGAACCAATACCTGAATAACTATGGCTGCCAACCTGTCAGAGCTTGTTATTATCTATTGAACAAAATATCTAAATTACAATTGAAAGACTTGACTTTAGCAAATAATGTAAAGTATACTGTAGTAAAGTACTGTAAGTGACTTTGTAGTTATTGTACAGTATTGAAAAATTAAATCCTTCAATTCATAAAAAATCTGTAATACATTTCATTAAAAGAATTCTGGTATATAATTTGATATCAATGGTGGGTAATCCCCTCAGGAGACAAAAAATTATGTCACAAGGCTCAATTTTTGGTGGATTCATGTCTCGGGTTTCAATGAAGATGATGAGCTGGTTAAAATTATCAATAGTTTTAGGTACAGTATAAAATTATAGCAGTAAAATATGTGGATCTTAAAAATATTAAGCCACAAGTAATCAAAGCTTGCAAACACTCAAAGAAAGCTTAATGAATACCATACAACTGAATTTGAGTAGGTTACATACTAAATACGGATGACATAAAAAGGTGCGCACTTATTAGATATTCTACAGCATCATTGTGGGGAAGTATGAAGTACTATACAAAAAACAAGGAAGTACACACATCAAACAGAAATGAATTTAAATATACAGTATAGTCTCAATTTACGCAGATTTCCTTTACACGGTTGGTCATTTACGCGGCACCTGGCCAGACGCGGCAATTATTAGTTACGCGGTACATTCCATCATTTACGCGGGAAGCGGCGCGGGCAGGGCGCACGCTAGGTCACCCAGTCAACAAAACATTACCGAGTTCTTCACCCGCCACCCACCACAGCCAGCCCAAGTCAGTGATAGTGAGTATATGGACTTTGAGGGGTTTGACAAGGAGGCCCTGCTAGCCTCTGTGGTGGATAGTGATACAGGTGATACAAGTGATACAGGTGAGGGCCAATAATCTGCCCTCTGCCTCGGAACCAACCCCCCATCCCCGTAAGTGTTAAAAAACCTACCGGTAATATTATTGATATTTCTCTTAAATATTAATTGTGTGTGCATACCATCATAAAATTAAGATGTTATTTTTACTACAACGTATGTATTGTGTTGGAAAAAGGGTAGTCTGGCAGTCGGCCCAGTCTCTATTTCAATTAATCCCATATGTTCTGTTATTTCGTTTATGCGGACCTCCATGGGTTTAATTGACCGCCTAAACCGAGACTATTCTGTAGTTTTTACTGTAACAGAAAACAGCTAAATCCAAATTCAGTATTACCAACTGAACTAACCAAAGATAAACATATCTATTTTAAAAGACCACATGAGCCAAAAATGCCAAGCTAGGTTTCAGTGTGTAAAAATTAAATTGCTCATGTTTAACTGACAGTCTTTACTCACCTACATACAGTACAGAAGTATTACATATAATGTACTGTATATAAATTTACACACAATATACCCAGGTACTGTTCATGTGCACTATATGTATTGTATAATGTTTGTTAATCTTCTCCATAAGTTTATTCATCTTCCTTCTATCTATAAAGTTATTCTTCGCTTATATATTTCTAACACAATTTATATATTATGAAACTTGATATATTTTTGGCTCCATCAGTTCTCTATTAATTTCTACTTCTGAGTAATGCCACTAATCTCTTATATTTTCACCTCTTCTTGTTATCATTTTTTATACAGTACTGTACAGTATTGTGTTTATTTCCCATTCTCAGTAAACTAATTTATAGCAACTTTTAAAATTAGTGTATTGCAAATTAATTTACCTATACCTGTACTGTATGTATCACAGTTTTGATTAACTGCAATTTACTTTTTAAATTTAGTTTTCTACCTTGTCCATAGAGCTAACAGAGAAACAAAGTATTGTATGAAAATACTGTACTGTACCTGGTCCTTAACTCGCAGCTCAAGATCATGTTTTGCCTTTTTCAAGGTAGCAACTTCCTCTTCCACTTTCCCAGTGAAGCTAAGGTCCTCCAGCTCACGGCTGAGGGATGCTATTTTCTCCTCCTTCAACTCTAGTTCCAGCTTCAAGGTCTGCAACAAACATACAGACACACATCAATTACAGTACAGTACTATAAAATCAAGATCAAAGCTTTTTTTTTTATCAACTTCTGTACTGTATATGGACAGAAGATGACACTGTAAGATGGGAGGAGTGTGACTGCATCTGTATAAAGGATGGTAGGGACAATATTGGTTGAAGAAAACACTTTTACCATGCACTGAGGGACATATTCTTGAAAGGTTTGGCAAATAGAATAAGTGAGATTGTAAATATGAATTGTGACATGATAGAGATGAACTATGAGTTGGTGAACTACAGAGAACACGTTATGGCGATATTTAACATTGGTTGGTGGGCCATACAAACTATAGCATGCACATGTGAAGGCAATTATCATATGTGGGTGGCTTAAAACTGAAAAAGGTGCTTTTCATCAATACTTATCAAAGTACAGTAAAAAGAACGAACATAAACACACTATAACACAAAGAAAATTTAGAGAATGTACCTGTACATGTTAAGATTTCATTCTCCCATACTTACCTGACCTACAAGTACAGTACACATACTGTCCAATGTGAAACTACCAAACAGGCATATTTTCTCTGAATATTGTAGTTTCTTCCAATATTAAGGCTGGACCCATGGAGATAAAGTAGAAGACTAAAATTTGGATACACAGGCCTCTGCTTTCATCCAGTACCGGTACACACTGTATATTCAATTATATAAAGACACCAGGATTGCACCACAGTACAGTATGCAAACACCATGGAGTGACCAAGTGATTGCAAGTAAATTTGAACTAGGAGATAGCACTACAGTAACACTCTGATATCATGGAACTTTTTCAATGAACTAAAGAACAAAATCTTCAATTGAGACAAACCTTAACTCCACTTGTCTTAAACATGAATCACATAAAACAATGAAAATTTTCCATGGATGGTCTTGGATGAAAAGGTAAATATATGGGTGGCCTGAGAGATAAGGGAGCACCTGTCCCTCCTCGGCTAGTAAAATATAACCACAGTTTTTCATTGAATGAAAGGTAAATGTATCTCTTAGGCTTACATGCATCTGTTTTTAATTTAGATAATCATTAAATACTTCTTTTTTAATGTTTCAGATCCAAATCAAGTGTAAGAACAAGGAAAACAATTACAGTATTTCTAATGAAGTAAGAAGGCTGTAGCCTCCATGCTTTCAGTTGATTGACAAAATGAATTAACTTAGAAGATGGCATGTTGACCATGGCATCTAAGCCAGTTATATTTTTGCAGGATTTTACCACTGAATAAAGGTGGGTGGGGGTGGAAGGGGGCAGAGTGCAATCATGGTCAAGAAAAAACAGTAAGTTACTGATATATATGTGTACAAGTAGCCAAATTGAGCCACCATATAACACCCAGAGGCAGTAAATAACATTGTTAATGTGGTATCTTCATATCAAATATTACACAGTGTATTATTGTGACTCCTGTTGTAAACTGGTCTGCTGAAAGCTCTCTCACGAACGCATCTTCAGTAAATAACCTGATACAGCTTATCCTTTTATTTTCGTCATATTACAAATTACTTACAGTATTGTATTTTTTCTATTACTGAAGATGTTATATCAATCATGATGAACCACAAACCATAAGGGGCCAATCATATGGGAATATAATACTGAATCAATAAACTGACGAGTGTGGCAACACCGTATCAGCCCCAGCCTGCTTACATACTGTAGTCAAGTACTCAAGTGTCATATAGGTCTATAGCAAATCTGATTAGACCACTGTACAGTATTCAGTATGCGTGGTTCTTTTCATAAGATTTATTTATTAATCTTCCCCATTTCTTAAAACATGTTTTTTTTTCTGATGACCGAAGCACCCCAGAGTCCGGAAAAAAAAACGTATTCTGACACACACACTACTATGTAGCCTACAGGTATATACTTGATATCTATAATTTATTCACCCGATTATGACGCTCAAAAATGTTGTTACTGTAAAAGATATCATTATATGATTCACTGTAATTATAAAGCAACTCTGGTAATCTTTTGACATGTATTTGGCAGGACTGATACCAGCATGAATTATGACAGTACTTGTACAGTATTTTTTTAATAATGTAATTTTCAGCAATGAATCGACATTCCACCTGTCTGGTAAAGTCAACAGACACAATTGCCGCATAATGGGGATCAGAAAATCCCCATTCATTTCTTGAACACGAGCGTGAGTCCCCAAATAAACGTTTGGCGTGGGGTCCGACTAATTACCCAAATGTAGCCGCAATGAAGTCAAATAATGGTCCTACATGAATAAATAGGACTGCCAATCACTTCTCGACTAGTATTTGATGTCACAAAGTAAAAAAAAAAAAATTTGGAAAACGTAATTTAATCTGAGTTAATAGATCGCGTGCATGTACCTAACCTAACCTCGACTAGTATTTGGTGTCACGGTCACAAAAAATTGGTAAACTTAATTTAATCTGAGTTAATAGATTGAGTGCACGTACCTAACCTAACCTAACACAACTCAGATTAAATTAAGTGATTCACAGCCGATTTACGCTTGTAGGACCATCATTTGACTTCATTGCGGCTACATTTGGGTAATTAGTCGGACCGTTTGGCGTGCACTCTCCTACAACCGTGTGATTGGACCATTTTGCTTCTACGAGAACACGGTGAACTCTGCCAAATACAGTACATAAATATGCTTGAATTTTATGTTGTACCTCAGCTGGAAGACTTGCAGCCCCATGTGTTCTTTAGCAAAATGGGGTACCGCCACACTGGGGCTCACAAGTGCGCGATTTCCTCAATGAAAACTTCCCTTCTTGTTGGATCACATGTGAGGTCCCATTCTGTGGCATCACGCTTATGGATTTCTTTTTATGGGGCTACGTCAACGATAAGGTGTATGCGAAAAAGGATTAATGACATCATAGAGTTAAGACACCGGATTGAAGAGGAACTGGCTTCCATCACGCTAGACATGCTTCATAACACCTTGAATGAAATCAGCTACAGCTCTGTACTGTCTTGATACTCTACGTGCTACCAAAGAGGCCCACATGGAGGTTTACTGGAGTGCAGTTATTTGTGCCAAATACATGCCAAAAGATTACCAGAGTTGCTTTATTAATTACAGCAAACTGTTTTATATCTTTTATCGTAAAATTTATATCGAGCTTCATAATCAGCTGAATAAATTATAGATACCCTGTAGTGTATATATATATATATATATATATATATATATATATATATATATATATATATATATATATATATATATATATATGCAAGTAAATCACTAGGTGCGCGTGATCTAGGTATATGCTGATAACCACAAGGAAAGAAGAAAACACGAAGTTCCCAAGCGCTTTCGTGTAATTCACATCTTCAGAGGCAACTGGATTACATGGACAGAGAGAGGCTTAAATATACAGGGTGACCTTAAAAACATGAGGTTAGGTCATAATGATGTCATCCACTAATCCCCACACCAACACACACGTAGAGTGACGTGACGTGACGTGACTAGTCAGGTCAGGTCAATAATAAGGGACCCACTAAATAACTATCAAACATCTAGATCAAAGGTTTTCAAAGTATTTTTAACCTTGGGCCACTGACAAATAAATTTATGTAACATATCAGTTTTGAACTGACCATCACTAAGGTTTATTGATTTTAATTCCTTAATCAAACTAGCTTCAACCAGAAGTCTTTCTGTGACACAAGATGATTTAAATACTTCTAAGCTTTTTTCCCAAGCAATGGGATGATTATTATTCCTAACATGAACGAACAAGGCAATGCTTTCAGATGCTGTTCTGATATTATACTTATGTTTTTTGATTCTGAGCTGCAGTGTTTTTCCTGTCTGTCCTACATAATTACAATTACATTTGCTACATAGAATACAATAAACACTTCCATTTACATTCAAACTTGGGCTATTTTTATTAAAAAAAATATATATATATATATATATATATATATATATATATATATATATATATATATATATATATATATATATATATATATATATATATATATATATATATATATATATATATATATATATATATATATATATACTGTAGAGTAAATTTTATTGTCGTGTACTGTATGTTCACTCCAAGTTTCTTTCTTTTTTGTCAATCAAGTGACCCACTCCCAAATTTCACAATATGTAATGTAACTTTTATCATCTCTGTTTATTGTATATGTTTAGCCTTTTGGCTGCCATGTTTTCAATAAATCAATTATTATTATTATTATTACACAACTTACTTATTGGTGCTTAAGTTATAGTACAGTAATTCCAAATGGTTTTCTCCTTGTTCCCTCATAAAATTTGCATTATATGCATTATTTAATGCTATAGTGTACAGTATATTAAAAAAAATCTTATGAAGCATGCCAGCCTAAACACCACTACCAGATACAAAATTACCAAAGAGCTCCACTAACTTAAATGGAAACATTCCAACGTCGACGAGTACTGTACAGTATTGCACTACATGACAAGCTGTTCAGAATTGTTTTCAGAATCGAAAGATGTTACCAGCAACAATATTACTTTTACTTTTATCCTCTTCACCACTGATCGACTCGTTAGCTGCTTTGGCGATCGGTCACGTCTCTGTTACGCACTGTTGACAAGTACTGGGCATGCACCGGCTCCTGAATGTACCTGAACCTGTTCCAGTGTTAGTCAAGTCTGGTCTTAAAAGAGCTCACACTCGGTGCCGTCACAACACTTTCTGGCAGATTGTTCCAAGAGTTCACAACTCTCACTCAGAAAACGTTTGCCCTCACAGTTTTCTGGACCTGCGGCTTCTTCAATCTTGAGCTGTGACCCCTTGTGGGGCGAGCGTCCGCCAGCTCCAAGTAAGGACACTCGACTGAGTAGTGACCCCTGAGATGCTTATACACCTCAATTAGGTCACCCCTTGCCCGTCTGTAGTATAAGCTAGGCAAGTTCAGGCGCTCCAATCTCTCAGGGTA